GTGCTATTGAAATATAGGAGCTGAATCGCAGGAGCTCAGTCATGACTGGCGAGAAACGGAGCCGTGGCCCAGGGATGTTTTTCTTTTCTATTTAGATTTTGAGTATTAATTCCTCACTCAAGCCTGGACACTTTTTTTATATATGTAGTTTGGTTTTCAAATGACCTTTTCCTCGATAATTAATTGAAAATGCAATAAAAGACGGACAATTATAAAACATCGTTGTCAATTGTTTCATGTGGCTTGAGAATGAACCGTTATTCGAAAATTTGCCAAACAATATGATATTTGCTTTTTATTACATTTTCAATTAATTATCGAGGAAAAGGTCATTTGAAAACCAAACTACATAGGTATATCAAGATGTTCCTCGCTAGAGCACTGCATACTTTTTCTTCTGGACACTTTTCTTTAGTCTAAAACTTAAGTACGAAAGTGAAGATTTCAACATGTTTTGAGGTGTTCGATGGCTGCTGTTGTACTGTAATAAAGCATCAGCATTCAGCATAGCATACCGCCTTCTTACTGGTGGACTCTGTCCGGCCGATTTGAAGCTTGGCACCCAGAGCTGCGAGCTGCGTCAACTGGCCAAACTCACTCAAAAGGTCAAAGACAGCGGCATTAGCCATGCAGGGGCATCGGACGGGGGGGGGGGGGGCGGAGCCTCGCGCGGCCCGGGACGGGCGGACGGAGAGATTCTCCGAACCGGAATTCAGCCAGTCCCGGCTCTGTGAATGAAATGACAGCGAGAGCTATGAGCGCTTCCGACAAGGCACTTCCTCGTGGGGTGAGAACGCTGTCGACGTCCGGCTGCATGACTTCGAGACCGTGCACTATTCGACACCGCGCCGTGGAAACCAAATAAGGTGCGGTGTTTGACTGAAGATGGTCCGGGTTTTGGCCGATTGAACTACTTATTTCTTTTAGTGACCTGACAAGTGACAACATTATCAAATGTTCAAGGAAATATTCCGGATAACATCCTATTCGAGTGCTGTTAGCTCTGTTTTCATTTATCGTAAAGAAGCTTTCCTCGAATTTGTTAGTTTTTCATTTTCTTGTCCAATATATCTGAGTGTATCATGTTGAGCCTCTGGAAGGCTGAACATACCATTTAGTGCACTCTGGCATGCGGAGCAGACACGCTCGCGTTATTTAATGGCGCGCAAGTATGGCCGTAATTCTCTGCGGGGCGCGGGGTGTCTGACCTACAGGCGGAACCGGCGGCGGAAGCGGCCGCGCTGGAACACCGCCACCAGTTCGGCGACGGATTGTTACCGAGACGGCGGCGGTTCCGGAGCGAACGGTTCCGCGAACGGCGACCGCGCCGCGCCGCGCTAAAGGTCCCTAATCACACCGGCCGGCCGGCGCGCGCCGCACCGGCAGCCGCCTTCCTTCTGCTCGCCGGCCGGACGGATACAGCCACCGTATCGTGCATTTTTCATGAGTTTGTAACCGGCCGTTCCCGGTATTAATGAGATTTTAGGAAAATGCCGGCGAAATCCACAGGGCATTCGTGTATGTACATATTTGTGAATGTGACATCCAAGTCATGGCATAACGGGTAGATATTTAATTATTTATGCGTGTTACCGCGGATTGCGCCCCGGACGCAATGGCTCGTCTTTTTATCATGTGCGGATGATGAATTGTCTGAGGATGGATCTTCGCGGCCTGATGGACGGCTCTCGTTATAGGCACAGTCTTCACGCCCTTGGCGAGGTCCATTTGACTGCAGGCAAATGATGTAGATCAGTTGTCCAATTACCCTTTATCCTATCAGTCATTTCTGGACCAGTCAAATATTCATTCTGATAAGCAGTGGCCAGTGCATTAGAAGTATAAGTTCATGCATTACATTATGCTTTCATCTAGGCATGTATTTATGCGCTATCAGTCTATCTGAATAGACAGTTACTGTTTCGTCAAAGTCAATGATATTTCGCACAGTTATAGCATAATGCTGCATCGAGATCATAGGTGGAACTTCGTGCCGAGCTGGGAGGGCCCGAGCTCTCCAAATTCGACGCCGGCTTGGCTTTAGAGCCGCAACAGACCGCGGAGGTCAAGGTCAGCGCTAGGGCGGGGGCAGATTTGCTGCGCCCGTGCCCTCCCAGCTCCACACAAAGTTCCACCCGTGCTCGAGATTTACATAAAAATGTACCTACCTGTTTTTTTTTTGACGCCATATTATGTGGGTACCTACAGGATAGACCAAACCAATTTTATTGCGGAAGCATTCGCTGTCAAGTGTAAATATACTGATCAGCCTCCCAGCAATAGCGTTATATCCCCATCAGACACTAAATTGTTATCAATGTTCTGATACCACTGGGCCCAGTAAAACGATCCGAAGCAAATATTGTATCATCAAGTTTTGATCTTACAAAGCACAGCCACAGACAAGTGCCATTTTGGTTTCGTGATGTGATTTAGATCGTCTGGCTTTTGTATGATACTGTACGAAAAAAGGCAGTTTGTTGCTGTTATATTATGATCCTGCAGATGCCTGCAGTATTGCCACATAGCAGGCAATGGTTCCACACAGTTACGCCTTCTGTAACTCTCAGATCGTCCTCCGGCACACCGCGTATTGAACGCCAGAGCGACTCGAACCCGGTCTGTGAACCCGGCAGTACGACTGATTTCGCCAAATGGACTCCAATTTCTCACAGAACAAATGAAACTCCTTTTCGTTTGACAAAACTTTAGCCACACGTTGGATAGTTGTACCATATTTTTCAGACGCTGACAAACGGCAGGTTGTGCGCTGAGTTTAACAATTTCAGGGAAACACTTCTCATTGTCTCGAGAATGGCCCTTGACGTCTCGAATAAAGGCACTTTGGCGCAATGATTTTGACTGAAACGGCCCAATAAGTGCCGACTGACGCCGTGCTATGGAGCTCCGGTCCGGCCGGCGCGCCTATGATCCGTTGACGTCAGACAGGGCTCCCCGTGGTTCAGTGACGTCAGGCGGTGCTGCCGGTGGTCCAGTGACGTCAGGCTGTGCTGCCCGGTGGTCTGCAGTGACGTTAGGCCGGACTGTTCCGTTGCCCTGCGGTGTCATTCCGGTCCCGGTGCCGCCGGAGACGGACGGTGCGGACAGTTCCATCCATCTCGTCCCGTCTCGGCGGACAGTGACACCGCGCCGGACCCGCCTCTGACCGCCGACAGCCGGAGCGGCGCGACCCGGACAGATCCGGAATGCGTCACCGTCCGCCCGGAGAGCTGCCCATAGATCCGCCCGGAGATCCGCCCACACGGCCGGGCGGCGGTCCGGCACAGATGCGCCCCCCCCCCCCCCCCTCAGTCCGGGACTGTCTCAAAAGTCCGCGGCTCGGAACTTTCCAATTTGGCGCTGCCGGTGTGGCCCAACTGTCCCTGGCGGCGGACTGGCAGCTGGAGCCAGCCGTTTGTATCAGATGCTGCCGACCCGTGGCGGGCAACTTATCTGCGCGCCAGCTTCTGATAATGCTGCTAGAAAGTACCTACATCTAGAATTTCTAAATGTCCCATTTGGGAATTTTCATGGCCTGAATACTGAAATGTGATTGTCCATTTTCTATAGCTATCGGTTGGCGCTCAAGTAATAACAGTTTGCCATCAAAGAGTTTGTTGAAGAATAAAAAAGCAAGGCCATATATAAGAAAACATTCATAGCAACGGTTTATCAGAGTAGTTTGATGCTAATATTGAAAGTCCTGTCCTTCTGGAGGTGTGTTAGATATTGACTATAAAAAAGATATCTTCCCATTGACTTATAGGAAGATATCGCCTTAAAAAAGTTTTTGTCCATACCTGGTTGATGAGTTGACCAAATGACTATACAAACACTCGTGCCTCAAGCTAAAAAAAAATCGCACTTCTAGGCTAGGCATTCTCACTTATACTTATTTGGCTTTGATTAACCAGTAAGCGGGTGAAACAGCGCTGAGTTGATCCGTGCATTAGTATTCCTGTAACCTGGTCTATAAGCATGACATAGGTGGATGGATCAATCAAGACGCTCGATTCCATCCCAGTAATTGGGGCAGGCATTAGAGGATTGAGCTGTAGCGCGGTGCACCTCGCCACGACCGCGTGTTCGGCCCCAGAACCGGGCCGTTGCCGTAATCCAATCACCATAGGGCGGCCACCCACCCCATCCAAAATTCAGCTCTTCATCAACGCCGAGCATGCCGCCCCGCATGAAAGCCACACGAAATGAGCACGCAGTCTGTGTCTCAGTGTGGGCCTCAAGATCAAAGGCGAAACAACGGTACTCATCGGTCGAATGCAGGGTAATTCGCCCCAGTTTGGGGGATAAGCTTTTATGGGACTGTCTCTGTAAATTTTTTGAATTAAATCTACGGACGATATAAATAAAGATGCTTCCTATGCTTTATAGGATGCTTTATATGATGATAAAGATGCTTCCTATGACAGATCTTTCTCCACTGCTATATGCAAAAACTTGTGAAATGATGTGAGTGACCGCAAACCATTCATGCATTGAACATGATTTTTATGCACGTTTTCCAACCATCACCTACATATTCACTGAAGCGCCCACCAATTTTGCTGGATTACCGTGGCTGAATGTTTTTATCAACCACATGTATTTTATCACGGATATGCATAAAATGCAAAACGCATTTACGGTCACCTGCTGGTTTGCCTGTGCCATTGTCGTGCTCTCGCATAATCGCCAACGTTGTTGGTCGGAAACTGCGTGAACCGTGATTGTTTTGAAAAACATTACTCGTTGTCACCAAACGTTCTCTGATTGATAAGTCATCATGAACTCGGGTGCTTCATATTCAATTGTGTTGATACGGGCGGTTTTTCACAATTAAAGTCATAACCTTCGGATCCGCATTGCTGTTCTATTCAATTGTGTTGATAATGTGTGCCTTCCATTGAATTGTGTCGTTGCCCTGATTCGTGTTGTGCTAACCGTGTCCTGGGGTCCATGTGTCAGCGGATCCGGTCTGTGACCATGCTCGGGTGCGTTTTCAGGGCGCCGGTTGTACCGCTCTCCTAGTGGCCGTCGTCTCCAGAAAGCTGGAGCTCACGCGCGCAGAGAAACACGTCCATAACTTCATGATGGACACGCAGCTCACAAAAAGGGTGAGTCCGTAAAGTTCTGTTAGAATCTAGCACTGCCCGTTTGGTAAATTTTGAACGTATAGTAGCGCGTCGGAATGTAGTGCAGTGATATTTTATCATTATGGCCTCGTATTGAATGTGAGTTACCGCGCTGCACTCTTTGATAAGAGAAAGGTTACGCCCCGTTATCGGAAGGCTTGCGAGATCAATGTGTCGTCTTCAATGAAATGCAGCGTCATATTTCGCTTTGTCTTTTCCACTGGAGGCGAACATCGGGAAGATTCCTGGATTTTTTGCTTTATAGGAAGAATATGGCCAAGTTTCGAATAGCTCTATCAGTGCGTAGGTCGAAGTCGAAACGTAGAAACGTCGAACTTCGCCGGTAACATCTAAAACACTTACCAGCTAACGCGTAAACCATGTGTCGATTATGTGTAAGCAATGTGCCGATTGCGTGCAAACCATCCCGATGATTACGTGCAAACCACGTTCCGATTACGCTCAAAACACGTGTCGATTACCTGCAAAATACCTGCCGATTTCGTGCAAACCACGTGTCGAAAGCTTTAGAGAACGTGCGGCGCTTATGCGTACAAAACACGTCATGTGTTGCGTAAAACAAGTTGCACTCAGTTGTCGGCCAATCTGATGGTATCGTCATGAGGCGACGTCAGGCGTACTGGGAGGGGTCACGTGACCTCACCGTCTATCCTTGGCCACGGTCAGGGTGGTCTCCTGACTCATCACGTGACCACACCGTCCGTGCCGCTCCATCTCGCCGCGCTGACCTGCTGAGCTGTCACAGTCGGCGACACCAATAGGTACTGACGGCCGCAGTCCGCAGAAAAAAAAAACCTCAGCAGCGCCGCGCGCCGGCCATTGGCATTCCGCCCACGGCCGGAGAGGCTATAGCAATTGGCGAGAACGGCCGGCCCGCTCTGCGGCGCTTAGTAGCGAGCACACCGATTGACCGCAGCGGCCGGCCGCAATCAATCCGCGACCGCCGCGCGCCGCCGGCCCCCACAAATGAATGGCCCACCGCCAAATGAAACGTTTGTTTCGCAAAACTTGTACCGCTGTAATGGGTCTCCTGGGGCTAGGAACATAATTGAAAATCGTTAGACGTTGGCGTTAAAATGTTTTACGACTTCCTACGCTTACCAATAAGCCCCGTCGCATTTTGTATGGCTGTTGAGCAAAGGTCGCTTTTTATTGCTGCTCCAATAAGGAGTGGAAAGTCAATAGCATGTTTCTTGCTTACAGTTACATATGTGAGTTTCTGCTTACTCGGGAAATTTAAGGATAGATTGTACCAACAGCTGCTACCAGCCTGGTGCATTTCCACACCAGTTAACTGCGTTAATTACAATTTGATGCCGCCTATGCCTGCCAAATAAAGCGTCCAGTTGTCGTTGCTGGGCCCCTCTGGGCCTGTTGAGCCCTAGAACACGACACTCATAAGCTCTGCCGAGCATCTGGCTGGATCTCACCTTGAGCGAAATTTGCATCACCAGTTAGGACCTGCCACGCAGCGCCAATAGACGGCGCCGCCTCGGCCTCCGGCTCGGGACGAACAAACGACGTGCCCCTAATGAGCCGCGCCGGTAGTCAAAGCAAACGGGCGCTGTCGGGCCGCCTCCGTGACCGGCCGACTCGACCGCCGCGTGACGCGCCCGCTCGTTCATAGGGCCAATTACGCTAATTGGCCGCGGCAGCGCACGAGATGGGGCCAGTCAACAGGCGCCGGTCGCGGCCGGCGCGGCGGTCCGAGCGGGGCGGCGGGCAGTACCGGGCTTCGTTTAGTTCGGGCCGCTCTGTCAATATTGAGTCGGCGGCTGTTTGTGTATCCCGATGGCGCCGTCAGTCAGCGGAATTGGTCGGTGAGCTGCTCTAACACCGCGGCAGAGCGGCTGGCCGTGGGAGATCTCCCGGCCCGGCCTTTGTGCCCAGTGCGTGGACGGTACACGTGCGCCCGGACAGGGGCGGATCGATAGGACGGCCAGGGAGCTGCGGGCGGCTGATAGCACCGAGCCAGCTCCTCAGAGGGACGCGGAGGGACGCGGAGGTACTCCTCAGAGGGACGTAGAGGGACTACTCAGAGGGACGCGGAGGTACTCCTCAGAGGGACGTAGAAGAGGGACTACTCAGAGGGACTCCTCAGGTGCACAGAGGGTCTCCTCAGAGGGACGCGTCTCCTCAGAGGGACGCAGAGGATGGTCCAACACTGCCGAAACGCACTGGAAGCGTATCGACGCTGAGGCAATAAGTATGAGTGTATCTGATAAAAGGGCACACAAGAATAATTAGCTGCGTGTGTGCGAGAAGTTACATGTTTCTAATACACTGAAGTAATTTGCTGGGAGCGTTGTGTCAGACGTATATCAGATAACTCAGTGTGTCCAGTGAGGGAGTTTCGCTAGAGAAATTGAGTTTGATAAGCATGAGATATGTGAGGCATACTGTTGCCAGCTATTAAGTCTGAAGGCAGCTCGGTTTCTGGCCTCATGGCGGTTCAGATAATTATGAAATGAGATAGCTATCTTAGTATATGGAGGACGACACATTGCCCGCTGCTGCGGCGAAATGTCGAGTTCTTATTAATGAACTGTTATATAACAATTCCAACCTTTCAAACACTGAGCCAGGTCGGAAAGCGTTGGAGATCGCTCCTCCCCTGTTATAGTCAGCAATCCGTGGAGTTTCGGCCGGTGCCGCCCGTCGCCGCACGGCCTTCGCTTTTTGCCTGTTTGAGGCTTTTTCTCTGAGGTGAGCGTGTTTTTCGTGAAGTTTGACTCCGACGGAGGACACTGTTTCAGCTCGCAATCGGGAATCTCCCAGGGTTTTCGGTATCAAAAGAAAGGTCATAGGGTTGTTTTGGAAAGGCGATGTAGCTCTAGTCTGATCGAAGCCCTGTCGGACCGGCTTTCGCTGAGACGTTGCGAATGGTGACGGAAGGCTTCTGCCGCGGACGGTGCCTCCATTTTTGCCCCTGTTTTTGTGCCGCCGGCTCCTGCTACCCGTTCCCTTCGCCACCGGTGGCGCCGTGCTAGGTGGACGGTGACACGGAATGAGCATTAGGCGCGGCCATCAATTCGGATAGAGCTTCATTAGGCTTACAGAGCATTCCGGCAGGCCGTTGTGGCCCGGTGTGTTAACCCGCGCGGGGCTGGGGTCTCCAGCCGAACGCGCGGGGCTGGGGGGGGGGGGGTAAATTTTACCCCCCCTGTTATCTCCCGAACTAATGGTCCGATTTGGAAAATTCAAACGCCAATCGAAAGCTCTTATCACGAACTACTAAAAACATGTACTTAATTTAAAGTTTGAGGTCAAGGTCAAGGTCAGGTCAAGGGTACAAATTGCAAGTTTCTACAGTATCGGCCTTGCACCGTAGTTGCCGAAGAATGGAGTCATGGACTGAGACTGATCGCCCAAAACGTGTTCTTAGGCTACCAAGACAATATTCGTTGCATACAATATCATTCAGAGGTCAAGGTCAAGGTCAGGTCAGGTCAGGTCAGGTCACCAAAAAACAAAATATAGAAAAGGGCATGTGCGACACATGTTTTATGGGTCATTTTACTCATAGAATTCAATAGGCACACTCAATAAGTGATATGGACCACCTCTGGATGAATTTCAGGTCGAGGTCAGGTCAAGGTCAGGTCAAGTGAGGTCAAATTTTGAAGTTGGTTTTTAAGGCCTAAAAAGGTGTCTATCTGATGCAGTTTTTCACGGCGAATCGAATGGTGCTATTTTTGTTTCCGTACGAGGTCTAGAACTTCCAAAAAAGTCATTTTTCAAAAAATTTGTGTGTCGTGACGTCATAAAATTTTGAATAACTCCCACATTTTTGAACCGATTCTTCTAAAATTTGGTATGTAGGTGCACATAGACCACTTCTCTGACATATATTCCGGTTTTTTCGATAGACTCCAAATTTTGGATTTTATAATGATTTTCCCAAAAAATTCAGTTTTTTGAAAAAATTTAGGCCAAAATCCAAAATTTTCATAAAACCGAGATAGCCATTTGATAGACAAAGTAAAATTACGCATAACCTTTTTTGTTACGTCTTGATTCCTTTAAAAATGAAGATGTTAGCGGCGTTTGAACTTTTGCCGTTTTTGAGGCGAAAATGGCGAACATGACGTCACTAAAACGTCAATTTCTCAAAAAATTTCCGACGGATTTCGCTCAAATTTTCAGGGAACGTGTCAAATTGATGTAAGAAAAGGTACTGAAAGTTTGGCGGCGCTGCGCGCCGCCGTTTTTGAGATATCGCAAAAATTCGCGAGGGGGGGTAAAATTTACCCCCCCCCCAGCCCCGCGCGGGTTAATTGACGGCAGCGCCGGGCCGCCGCGCCGTGCCACCAATGCCGGCTGTGGCCGCCGCTCCGCCATTGTGTAGGACTTCATGCGACTCTGTAGAGTGTGCAGTGCATTGTTAAAGGCGGCCGACAAGGCCCTTCGTTAAAGTTCATTCAGTACCTTTATTCTTCTGCGTCAATGTAGCACTGTTCATCATTTCGCCGCACACAATAATGGCGGTGCTGCGACTGGGAATGGCTGCCGTTTGGAGACTGTCGGAGACCGCTGACTAACTCTGTCGTTCGTTCCAGTTGAAAAACTCAGCAGCCAACGTGCTCAGAGAGACGTGGCTCATCTACAAGTACACCAAACTGGTGAAACGGGTCAACCCGGGAAGAGTGAGAACGCACCAGCGCAAGTTTCTTCTCGCCATATACTCGTGAGTTTCAGGGGAACGTAGCAGTCCCAGCTGTGCATTCCTTGGCTTCCTTGTACCTGCTGTGCAGCCATACAAGCGTCTTTAAGAAAACGCGCATCGAACAAAGAAAGAATGTCAATTAACCCGCGCCCTGCTGGGGGTCCTGGATTTCCACGCCCTGCTGGGGGGGGGGGGGTGTTTGAACACCCCCCCTTGTAACTCGGCTCCTGGGCCACGTAGCGATACGCGGAAGGCGGCGTTCGAAAGAGCGTAAAAAATAATGACGAAATCACTTCGGTCAATTTTTTGGTCAGGTCAAAGGTCAGGTCACCAGAGGTCAATGAAGGCAAAATTTCGCCGATTTCCAGGTCGAATGTCAAAAATTTCCAAGAAGCCAACGCATAACTCGGGAACCAATAGACCTACAGCGCCGCGGAAAAGCGCATTCGATAACCCTATTAACGCCCTTTCTGAGCAATTCTCTCAGATTTGACCTAACGTCAACGGTTTTGCCTGCAGGGGGCAAAAACTGCAAAAATAGCCGATTTTTTCGAAAACAGTTTTTCTGCAATAACTTTTGACCCAAACCTTGTACGAGCTTACTTTTACCGGCATCGTGTTCCTCTCGTCAAGACGCATCGAATGAACTATAACTTGACCTTGAAAGGTCAACTTGAAAATTTGACCTCAGGTCAAGGTCATGACCTGACCGGAAAGGGTCATGTTGCATATCAGTCGATCCGTATCGTCGAGCTGAACACATCTAAGGCGTTTTCATCGCTCTAGCATGCCTCTATCAAAAGTTATTTGCGAAAAACTGTTAGATACCATTCGTGACCTAAGATGACCTCAGGGCATAAACAAGGGTCACGGACACCATTTTCAAGTTCAGTGTGTCTAAACCACTTGTAATTCGGTGTTTGGGAGTGTTTATAATGTCTTTCATCCAAAAGAGGCGCATTTCATTTTTCTCCCATTGACTTATAATGGGGAGGTCGCAAAATTGACCTGACCTTAGGTCATCGATATCAAAATTCTGAGATATACATTTTGTACAGGCTATTGCTCTTAGCAATCGCTGAAAGTTTCAAAGCGATCGGTCACTCGGTGTAGCTATGACAGACATTGAAAGTTTTTATGAGGTGAGGTCACTTCAAGTGACCTGGTGACCTGACCTTGAATGACCTTGGTCTGAAATTTTCACAACATGTGTAGAATTGATGTATGATAAGGTGTACCAAAAACGGCGGCGCTCCGCGCCGCCGTTTTTGAGATATTCGCGAAAAACCACAAGGGGGGGGGGTGTTCAAACACCCCCCCAGCAGGGCGCGGGTTAAGTTGCAAGAATACCTATCTTTTGATATTTGAATTAGCATTAAATGCTCGATACCGTTAGAAATCATACCCTTAAGTTAGAAATAGCATACTTTGGAGAAATGAATGATGCTGCATCTATTGATTATCCTATTTCTAATTAGCATTGCGCTAGCTATAAGCCATTGTTTAACAATCACATGACTTAATTGGCTGTTGCATTTAGTCCAGGCTGAAAAAAACGTCAGATTCTGTAGTCTGTAACTTACTTTGTAATCTGACCGTTCAAGCTTTGCTAAGTTACGCTTCTGTGATGTTTTATGATGCATTGTTTCGATTTGCTGTTTTCAGATTACGAAAAGTGAAAATGGATCAGCGCAAACTTATGGACAATGCGAGTACGATCACAGACATGGCAAAGGTAGGTTACCTGTGTGCTGGAGCTGTGTACAAGGCTGAGACAACATACGTAAAAAGTGCTGTCATCAAGTGATCTGGGTGATGGGTACTTTAACTTTGATGAGTTGAAAACAATGCGTTTTCTCTAAGCATAAAAATAAAATCGGGTGGTATCTGAAAATAAGTGATAAACGTAATAAGGATGGTTCTTTATTTCCTTGGCAAAACAAAGTCAAGGAATTGCCAAGCCAACTCATTAGACCATTCATTCTAATCGACAGCTTTTGTTCATGGATCATTGAAAAAACAAAATAAGGTCGACTTCGTAGACGGTTTTAGGCGGCTGCATCTGTAAACGAAATTGAGGTACGTTTTTGTCACGCTTTGTCTCGAATAACTTTAACAGAAGCAATTAAAGTGATAATTTTTAATTTGATTGAACGTCATTTTGGGGAATCGAATAAAATTGTTTCAAAATGATCTTAGAAGTAAGATGAACGCACAAAATAGATTCTGGTTTACGCTTATTTTCGTATTAATTTTTTGCCAGCGTGCAAAGAAAACTGACAAATATGAACGCAGCACAATTTCCTTCTTCACTCTATTGGGGGCGAGGAACCGTAGATGAATGGCTGAGTGGGTCTGACGAGGCAGAGTTAGCAGTGAACCAGCTCTGAAAGCAGCTTAGAAGGGCCCTTGTTATTCGATTGGTCGTCAATAAGATTACAGCGGGCCGACTAGCTTAGTTAGAATCAGTTCTCGACAGCCGCCCTCGCCAAGCCTGATGAAGACAGATGCAGCGCGAATTCCATTATATGGAACGCTGCTATTGAAATCATATCGACAGGATCAAACTGCTGCATAGTTGAGCTGTCAAGCGTGAAAGTAACTCGACTACATAGATTAATTAGCCTGCCAAGTAGGGAGCAGAGGCCTCTTGCACCAAACTACCTAGCTAGGTAAAATCGAAAAACCGGTTTCAGAATAAGCTAATCTAACGGTGGTAAATTTGTTTGCAATAGCCCAATACATAGTCCTACATGTGCTTGCTAAATTTTGCACACAAATTGGTACATTTGAAACTTGGACTGGATATACGATGCAAAATAATCCAAGCATTGGTGCAAGAGGATTTTGGTGCAAGAGGCCTCTGGTTATGTTTCTGAATCTCATACACTTCAGCATTATTGCTAAAAAAAAAATATGCTTGGAAATGACACCGAAGTTACTACCAAGATCGTTGTAAAATGCATTTTCCATGACATTGCAGTACTGCAATGCCAATGAAGAACGATATATTTTCTCAGCTTGGAGATGACAACCTTAAAGACAGGACCAGAGAATGACAAGCTTGTTTACGCTGTAACGCTACGTACGATGACACCACGAATGACACTGACGCCACTTTGGAATGAGTTTCAGTCATTTAAGATCGCAAGTTTTGCTAGCTGTGTGACTGGATTCCGGAGCCAATGTGTTTACCGCAACTGCAGCCGTCCCGGTCTGCTGAGTTAATGTGATAAGTTGCCGCAATCAGAGTCGTAATCAGATGCAGTTAGTCACTTGCCACAGTTGTTAGTTTTGTGTGACAAGTGTAAGACCAGCGTTAAAGCTGCAAACGATCGTGATGGATAATGCAGTCTCTGCAGAACTTGTCAACCAACGAATTTAGTCGTACAGCGTAATTCGTAACGCATTTTTTAAAACTTCTCATTAGTACGACTTTTGAACGGTGCTTGCCCCTGTGCCGCCATTGTCAGTTACCCCTAGCTCACAGCTTCCCTTTCTCCCTTGTAATGGGGATGCAAAAAGCATTCTGATTCTTCAAAATCGTAGATTGACAGGCTATAGTATGCTGCTTTGATACCGTTTATAGATGTCTCTCATCACTTCCACTTAACCCTCGCACGACCAGGCCATTTCTCATAACACGAACGACCAGGGGGGGGGGGTTACGACCCCCCCCCCCCTGGCGTTTCAAAACGGAAGGTCGTAGAGCTTAGCGGAAAAAACCAACGGATTGCTCTCAACGAGATCTTGCGATTGGTGGTATATTTTTTGGTCCTAGGTCAACATTTGACCTACTTTTGACCGGTCAAAGGTCAAATTTTCGGAAAAATAGACTTTTTTCAACTTTCGGCGGCGATTGCGGCAAAACGGTGGGAGATATCGACTTGAAACCTTCACTATCGTGTTCCTTGATCAATTCTCTATCGTTTGGTATGTATTTCGTTTCCCTAGCTCTAAAAATGGCGCGTTGGGAGCGCCGGAAGTCGGCAAGGTCACAGTCGGCGGCAGAAATTCGAAAAATCAAAATTTAAATTTTTGAAATCTGATTGTATTTTTGGATTTGGGACGTCCATTTGCTCCCTATAGAAGCTAATATTGCTGCATATTCCCATTGAGGTGACAAGAATTAGCAAAATAGTGGTTCGGGCGCTTTTCAAAAATAGTACCGGACGCTGTTCCTCTTGTGACGTCATAGCTCCGTGACCTGACCTGACCCGGTCAAATTTCTTATACCATATGATAGCCAATACTTGCCCCAACATGCATGGGAAGTTTCATCACGATCCATCAACCGATGTCCGTACCACCGGCAGGAAACCTCGGGCGTTGGCACTCAGTTTGTGAAAATCCGGCCGGAGGCTGTACCTCTTATGACGTCATAACTCCGTGACCTGACATGACCCGATCAATTTTTTTTCGGCAAAAGATGCGCAAAGGTTGCCCCAGAGGGTATTGAAAATTTCAGCCCGCTACGACAAGCCGTTTAGCGTGCACTTCGAAAAAACCTCAGGGGGGGGGGGTTGATACAACCCCCCCCCCCCCCTAGGCGTTCTAGGGTTAACCCGCGCACCGACGGGGGTCTGCGCCAACTTCGCACCGACGGAGGGGGGGGCGGATGACCGCCCCCCCCCCTGAGATCTCGAGAACGAAGCAAGATAGCGACAAGCGGTAAACGGCATCGGATACGCACGGCCAAGATCTACAATTTTTACTAAGGTCATTTTCAGGTCAGGTCAAAGATGACGTCACAGGGGTCGAAAAAGTCAAAATGGCGGCGCTAGATATGGAGAGAGTTTTTCTCGAATAACTTTTGAATTAGTCAAGATAGGAACAAACTAAGAGCATCATCGTGATACTCTCGTCAATCCGCATCGAATGATATATATGTTGACCTCGAAAGGTCAAGGTCAAAGGTTGACCTCAGGTCACGTGACCTCGAGGTCATCATGTATATCATTCGATGCGTCTTGACAAGCTGAACACAATGAGACCATCCACGCGTCTGTATCTTGTTCCTGTACGGAGTTATTGGCCAAAAACCTTTGGTGACCTTTGATGACGTCACATGACCTCACAACTGCCCAACAGCAAAACAGACCTCAAGGTAGTGAAGGTTGATCGTATATGAAGTCATGTATGGTATATGGGGCCATTCCGACCCGTTTTAGTGGTAAAAACAGGGAGTTGATTTTTCCCCCATTGACTTATAATGGGGAGGTCGCGAAATTGACCTGACCTTAGGTCACCGATATCAAAATTCCGAGATATACAAATTGTAGCTACTAATGACCTAATAATATCCTGCGACTTTCAAAGGCCTCAAACATCTACTGTAGCTCTGGCACGGTGACAAAGTTGCAAAAAAGTGACTTGAGGTTGGGTCATTCAAAGTGACCTGTTGACCTGACCTTAAAAGGTAGGAGGTTCAAACTTGCACACCATGTGTAAAATTGATGAGGTTATAGGCATACCAAATTTCGCGGCGCGTAGCGCCGCGGTTTTCCCGCTATTCGCGAAAAACCTCAGGGGGGAGGGCGGATATCCGCCCCCCTCCCGTCGGTGCGCGGGTTAAAGTCGTTTTAATCGTATTGAAGAAAAGCCCTCCGTTCGAAGGCCGTTTTAATCGTGAAGGGTAGAAGTCCTCCGTTCGAAGTCCGTCGTCCGCCAAACGTCCTCGCACTTCACTGAAGATCTCTGCCTGTCCGGTGTCCGCCGGTCCGCCGGTCTACTGATGGTCTCTGCTGGTCCAGTGGTCCGCGCGGTCCACTGATGGTCTCTGCTGGTCCGGCAGTCCGCTCGGTCCACCGATCAGGGTCCGCTGGTCCCTGCTGGTCCGCCCGGTCCGCCGGAGACGACTCGGGATCGATCCGCCGCCAGTCGCCGAGTTTGCATTGGCTTGAATGCTGGCCGCGCTGTCAGAGTCCGTTATCGCTATTGATTGTGACCAGCCCCTCTCCGTGGGACCAGCACATCTCCCCTGACTGCTCTCCCTCGTCTGCGCGCACTGGGATGGCCGAGCTGTCCTCAAAGTGCGCCGTGCAGCCAGCGACGCGGTGCTGGTCAGCGCAGCTTACAGTCCCGACGCTAGATGGCACTGGTGGTTAGCGCCTGATGTGTATGCTGTACCGCATAGCTTGGTGGCCGTATTTGGCGATGACAGGGAGTTTCGGGCAAATTAGGGGATCAGCTGTTGCAAGCTGGATATAGAGCTGCCTTTGTGACATTTTTTATTGTGTAGCCGCGTTGACAGCTTGTGTAAGAAAATACGATCACAATTGGAAGGGTTCCATTACCTTCATAGTTCATAACTAGTTGGTTCCTGGACATACAAGATGAATGTTTTCATCATAATTCATTGGTGTCTCCCTTTAATGGCAAAGTGGTGTAATGCTTGTTTCCAGATGTCGGCATGTTAGCTGCTCCCTGTATGCGATAAAGTCTGTTAGTGTCTTGCTTGGTAGAGTTTCAGCATATATCAATTTATTAGTTAGCTCGTCTCGAGGCACAGAACAGCAGCGCATTTGACTTCCTTATTGACATGATAGGCACTCTAAAATACAACATGTCCATTTCAGAATTTTGCCATTTTACAAGAGTCGGCGGTCAGTCGGATGGGTTGTGCCCTCATGTGTCTCCACAAGTAGCTAACCCCATAGGCTGATGTATTCGGCTCTCAGAATGTTGCCACTGCTCGTTACTCAACAGGCTGGTTGTTCTCAAATTGACCACGTGACTGCACGCCTCTGCAGACGAATAATTGAGCCGGAAATATGCGCACTATTATCCGATGCACGCCAGAGCACACGCTGTGCGTCAATTAGCCTAATTGGGGCTCTGCAGAGCGGTTCGAGGCGCCCGCAGTGGGGGCGATCTGCGGCCGGATGCGGCGCACAGGCGCGCTGTCTGGTGTTCATTACACGGAGCTCCGGGACAGTCACACCGACACCCACAGCCGGCGGACGAGTACCGCGGATCGGACGGCCGCGGGAGCGAGCCAGGGCGGTCGGAGGCACGCCGCCACACCACCGCGCCGGCTCGCTTTAATCCCCAACCCTGCAGCCGTGGGCAACGACTCGGCACCGCTCAATGCCGCAGGGACACGGTAAGCCGGCAGAGAGCGCGGACTCATCTCTTCAATTGCCTGTCTTTGTGCGGCGGATCTGGCCGGCCCACTCCTGCCATCGTCGGTGCGCCGTCCCCAGCCTGCTCCGGGCGCATTGTCCTCTCCGGGCCGGCCGCTAATACGTCTCTTCAGCGCAGCTCTCCATCGGGCCACCCAATGGCGCTCTAATCACACCGCCGGTACCGCACTGCGGGAGGCGCGCGTCGTTAGTCACCGCGCTGCTATTGATGCGCGCCGGCCAGCGCCCACGCACTGGGGGCCGCGCGGCGATCCGAGCCGGGGCCGCCGCGGGACCTCCCGGCCCAGGGACCCCGCCGAGCAGTCGACATCGGAGCCCCGCTGAAAGACGGGGTCACAGACGTGGCGTGAACAAAGAGCCGGCCGAGCGGGGAGGAGGAGTCGGGCAGACCCCCGTTCGCGACAGCGCCAGAGCCGATGTGACTTCGGATCGCTGGGTGGAAGGTAAAATGAGGTCGAAGATAAAGTCGGCTACCATAAGATAAACCGGGCTGGATGGAAATGAAGCTAGCGAAGCCAGTGAAGCGAACTCAACTGATACGATACACAGCATTTGCTTAACTTGAGCTGAACAAGTATGCATAATACTTTATGGAATTCAGTTTAAAACTTTGTTCCTGCCTTTTTCGATCCAGTAAATGATAATGCTAAGGGGAGCGAGTCGAATGAGAAAATTATAATGAATAGAAATTAGAAAAAGGCCTTTTGCTTTTGTTATCAAAAGTGCATAGCTAATATGTAATAAGCCAAACTTAAATCATCGGATATATGTAAGCAAAGTGCAACGCTCGTCTGATACCTTGAAACATTTACTTTATTTTGTAAGCACGTCATAAAAGTCAAAACATTACTGGAGTCGGCGGCGCTTTGTCTTTATTACGGTACTTCGGAGCAGCGTTTTTGCTTTTCAGACTAAGCGCTGAACCAAATAGCCATTCTCAGCTTCATCAACATCGTTTCTGGAACGGGGCCCGGCTACATAATGGGAGACGGTATCCAGCCTAACTGAATTATACGGCGCTTCGCGTGTTGCCAGGGCCGACCGAGCGTGAAAGGAGGCGCGCATCCTGCCGGCTGCCTTTTCCGGCTCCGGCTCCGGCTCCATATATGCAGGCGGCTGCGAATCGACGCGTGTGACAGAGCGAGAGAGCGGCCGGGCGCGTGACGCCGGCTCTGCCAACATTTGGCTTGATTAAAGAAACCGGCGATCGCTGGCAGCGGGCATTGATTCGGGCTATATCGGGTGACTGCCGCCGTCGGCCGCCGAGTCGCCGCCACCGGGGCCCGTGGGAGGCGCTCGGGCGCAGCCGACACGTGGCCCGCCCAGGCGCACATCATTACCGCCATGGATATTGAGCCATGGCGACAAATAATTGCCGCGCATCTATCTCACATGCGATTATGTGGCGCAAATGTTTCCCAGAATTACAATAAGCCGAATGACGCACTCGGCTTAATATTTGTTTGGTGAGGCTAAATGATTGTCTTGCTTGTAGGAAATCCAATTCCTGCTTTACGGCGACTCGTCTCGTTAAATGAGTCACGATCGTTACCGCTGACACAGTGTTTGTTCTTGTGGTCCACAGGTGCAGAATTCGGTGTACGAGCTGGTGGTCGACATGAACACGCGGCAGGAACTGGCCGACGAGCGCGTCTCGGGCCTGGAGGAGCGGCTGGCCGCCATGCAGGAGCAGCTGGAGCAGCTGCCGGACGTGCTGACGCGCTGTCTGGCGGCGCACCAGGAGCAGCTGGAGCAGCGCCGCCAGCCGCACACGCTGCACCCGGAGATGGCGCTGCAGCGCTCTCCGCCGCGCCACCCGCCCATCACGCGCTCCACCAATGTCACCTCGCTGCCGGCGGCGCCTCCGGTGTCGCGCGCCAACACGGTCAACACGCCGCCGACGGCGCCGCCGCCGCCGCGCCGGACGCTGCCCCCCAGCCAGCGGGGCGGCGGGGCCGAGGCGTGACCGGCGCCGCGCGCCGCGCCGCCGCCAAGTGCCTTGCCCAGAGGAATGAGCTCGTGAGATGAGAGGGATACTTCTGTGATCTAGCGGGCGCCGGACGGAGCGCGCCGCCCGCTGCGTTGCAGCAGCCAACGGACCGCCCCGTTACCATTTCATTCCTAGGCGGGGCGCGCCGCTGCCTGACCGGTGAGGTTGTGATGCGTCGTAGAGCAGTAGCCGCCTGCGCACGCGCGCCGCTTCATTTTAGCGTGAGACAAGTAGCGTCTAGTTTGTTTTACACCTTTAGCGCCGGACGGCCTTACCATGTCCCGTTTTTTGCGCGGGCTTGGCGTCTGGCGGGGCGCTGCGCTGCGGCCGTTTTCAGAGCTGTCCGCAGTGTCTAGCGGCTCTGTTGTTGGTGCTGTTATGAGTGAGATGTGTGCCGACAGTGGGCGAGTGAGGGCCATATGGTGTGATCGACGCGTCCGGTGTGCGCCCGGCCGTCCGGGCTGTACATAGGGGGCAGCCGGCCGGCGGCACGGCCGGCCGGTCGGCTTCTCCGACCTGCAGCAGCTCCCTCTATATGTTGTCGTACTGTTTCGTGTTCCGGTTTAGTTGTAAGTGAGTCTCTCAATGTCACGCCTGGTTCCGTTGCGGCCGGGCGGGTCTCGTGGCGCGCTGCTGGTCCGCCGGCGTTCGCCCGTCGTCCGCTGCCGCTCTGTCCGCTGTCCGCTGTCCGCTGCCGCTCTGGTGTAGCCGCTGTGGCCTGTCCTCTGTCGCTCCGCTCCTCTATACTGCTGCTGCCTCTCCCTCTGCACCCGACGCGACCGTCGAGCACCTCGCCGATACTAGGGACGACGCCTCACGCCGCCGATTTCCGCTCGAAATCAAACGCCTCCTTCACGGCCCTATCGTGGGCCCTCTATCCGGAGTTTTGCGAGGCACGGTCACAGCTCTTGCTGTTATCGCCGAATCTCATCTCTCGCGAACGTTACACCATAATGGCACCACACTTCACCTGAGCTTCTCGGATGTTACTGAGAATAGATTCGGGACATTTAAAAATGACAGCCAGTCTTACCATAATAACTTGAAGGACCTCATTTTGTATTAAATCACAAAGCAGTCACAAGCTCAATACCATCTTCCTTTCCACCCAAACATTTCAGTAAGAAATCAGCCCGGCCTCGCTTTTGTCGCTAATCAGCTGGCATCGCCCAAAGAGCCTCCTTGTTTCTTCGAGATATCTGCTCCTCCCACCAGTCACAGGAAATACATTATTACACCAGATTGTGCTGTTTATGCAGGCGTGCGTGACCGTGTGTAATTTCACTGTTCCCTCGACGATTGGGGAGGGAAAGTGTCTGACGATCACACTTTCACACTCTGTCTAGCCCGTGACGGCAGCAAATCAGATCGGAGGGCGGAGCCGAGTGGAGCGGGCCGGACGCCAACTGACCGGAGCGCACCGCCACTCGGGCGCGCGGCGACGCCAGCGGCCGCACCAACTGTGACCGGATCTGCATGACTGGCCGCTTTCAGGGGCGCGCGCCGCGGCCCGGCGCCGCCGAAAACAGTCGTTCACACCGCCGGACTGAGCAGAAAAGAACGGGCGGTCGGCAGCCGACCGGCCGCGATACGGTCGGTCGTTTCCGGGCGCCATTGGTGGCGCGGCCGCGGCCAAAGCGGCGCACCGTGCCAGATTGGCTGGCCCTGGCCCAGCGCCAGGGAGGCGGCCACTCGCAGAAACGGGCGCAGAAATGAAAGGGCTCAGATCAGATCGTCTTTGGGTATTTGAGATCTTGGCAGCCTGCGTGAGGTAGGTCTGTCTGAGGTAGGTAGGTGTCTTACCTGCATGCAAATTTGGGGTTTGTTACGAGCTCAGCAACATAGATCACACATTGAACGATAGCTTTTGATCTAGCTGCATAAACGATAAATATGTTCCTAAATCACTGATAGCAAAGCCATTGTTGACCGAAATTTTAGAGGGAAATTTCTCTTTACCGTCAACAGAATTAAAGGAATCGGCACACTGCCGGAACAACACAATCGGCGTTTTATGAAGGCCATGGTAGTAAATTGAAATTCACATGTCACAACCATAATCTTCATGCCCACCAAGCACACACAATACCTAAATAGGTAGTAGGTAGGTACACATATGATGCAAATTGCAAACTCATTCAGATTAATCAAAACCCTCACGTAAGATGTGTAGCGTAATTCTTTTGACAGTTAAAAAAGTTGAACTAAAAACGAAAGCAATATCTGTGAGAATCCGACAGGGTGGCGGAACTGCCTCCGCTCTAGGACGGACGAACCGGCCACTGGGACCGACGAACCAGCTATACCGCCGACCGCGCTGAACACACTGTCGCGCGGCAGTCTACGAACGAACCGGCTGCCTGGGCGGTATACTGCACCGCACGGCACGCAGGTCCTGCGGCGCAGTCTACCAGCGCAGGCCACAAACGCAGGCGCTAGGAGCATTGCGCCTCGTCCCCACTCAGGCGCTCCGCCACGGTTTCAGGATCGGGGGTTCCGACCCAAAAAATGCACATTCTTATATGTAAGACTGCATTACGGAAGTGAAACTATTGGGTGGCCCGGAGCCCCGAGACCACCTCCCCTTCCCGGTGGCGGAGCCCCTGTCCTCTCTGAGTCTGGTCGAATCAGTATACGAAGTGAAAGGCATTGCCGTTTATTGGTTTTAATCTTAATAATTTGCATGGATAACATGTTAAAGTGAGCTGTACGGAGTAGGGGCTGGGGACTTAGGTCTAAGGACTGTTTGTCTTTAGGTTGTCTTGTCAGGCAAAAAAGCTTGCAGCGCTCAGAATTTATATACGGCTTACGGCATAGAAAATGGAGCTGTAACACGTAACATGAAATCATTAGCCTCACCAGATCATTTATCATATCAAATCATGCCGGAAGTGGTTAAGTGGTAAAGTGCAAGCAGCATGTTTGACCCGAAATCGCAAATAATTTCGGATGTCGATGCAACCAAGACTTAACTCAGAAGTAAACACGTCCTAGAAAGACGTTTTTGCTCCGAACTCCGTACTTCATGAATTATCTTTCGATGATAACAAGCAAGCGTTTGTCTTGGGATGCCGTAAAAGTGAGAAGCTTTGCTGAATTTTGCCTCTTTCAACAGCCGTCAGCGCATCTCGCATGTTGTCTTCAGACCACAACTGATGCTTTCCCTCCTTGCCCGTGGCTATGCGTAAAATCACAGTGGGCAGCGTAAAGGTAAATGTCCTGTCTGGCAATGGAAAGTACCCACATATACATTTTAAAGAGTATTATAAGAACCTGGGTGGCTTTCAGGTCTCAGGAAATGCTTGCCTTATTTTTTTTTTCATCACGATTATAGGGTTCTCGAAGTTGAGACCCTGGACAATATTTCTTATTTGGCTGCATTACAAAGGCTCGGGGAGAGTGGGACAAAAAGGTCGCCCACCGACATACATGACGTAGCGGCGCGGGCTACGCAATTATGCCCACAGTTAAAATGTAACCGTCTGTCACTATTGCGCTTGGTTCCAATGTGTGGCTGCTGCATTCAGTGTAAGCATTCGCAATCGATCCCCTTGGAGCCTTCCCCATGGCCGCGACCTTCCAGGTACGCCGGCACATCTGTCAAGTTCCCAGACCCCAACAGGTTGGAGTAGCGCCGTGAAATCGAACGTAACGAGAGCGTCGGGCACCAAAACTACAGCGTAGATAGGCATAAAATACGGTCGGTTACCATCACACATTAGTCGGGCGGCTGATAATAGATGGGTATGACGGTAGCCTTAAAGGAAATAGTTCACTTTCCTGAAATTAGTATTTTGCTATGGATTCATGTTTTTTATGCTAAAAATGATCAGAAAATAAAACAAAACGTTTTTGTAAAAAGGATTATTTGCTATATTTTAGTATAAGAAGAACTATATTCTATATAAAATAATGTTTGACGCGGAAGCTTATTACGCGTTGACCAATCATATTGCGTAGGACAAACCCATCGGCTGTAAGCAGCATTCTGATTGGCTGACGATGACGTGACTGCATTCCTCAGCAAGGCACGCATTCCTCTGCAAGGCACTCTTTTCGGAACGAAAAATGGAATATCTTCGTCTAGGGTGATCGTTGGGCCGTAAAAGCTTCTGATTTGTGCTAGTCTCAGCGCAAGCAACAAAACTGCTATTCCAGTTCCAAACCCCATGTTAAAAGTGAACTATTTCCTTTAACAAATGCTGCTATGCTTATGCGAACCGTCCAGATTGGCAAACAAATCGTTCTTTCTTTCTTTTTTTCGAAATATATATATTCATCGTACACTTCAAACATGGTTAAATTACAGACACTTTACAAAAAAGCAGAGACATTGACAGCTTAACACAGCTGGCACGCAGGAACATTAGTTTGCCCCGCGTGTAAAGTAGTAAGCCAGCTCTGGATCGTCCATATAGTCGCGGCTAGTCTCGACCTCGAGTCCTTGCGCCCTGAATTCTGATTTTATTTGTTGGAACAGTTCACGGTAGCGTGCTAAACGAGCGGATATGCTGGGGTTATCAACTGCTGGAGATGGTGGAGAGCGACTATTAGTGTGGCTATCGGCAGTGATGGGTGATGGTGTTGTGTCAGAATTCATGCTAGGCGCTGAGGATGGTTGTGTGATATCAGTGATGGCATTGTTGGCTTGATGTGTTGGCAAGTGGATGTGGTCTGGGGTGGCATGATTGTAACATGTGCCATTTTGGGTCTGTCGTTTTTGAGTTTGCCGTAGTCCTGGGGTCCATGATTGTACCTGATGTTGAACGGTGTCGGAACTCATGGGGAAATGGGTTGTCGATCCTATGATTGCTGCCGCGTTTCCACGTATGATGGCCATTGACAACCGTTGCCATAACCAAGCTGTTTCCCGTCGGTCACCGGTTGACTGTGATATACGTCTGCCGAGCTCCTTGAAAAATCGACAAGCAGTTGGGCCGACAACTCCAGACGTCTCAACTGCCACTGGTACGAAAAGGTATTGCTCAGAAATGGATGAATACCGCTGGATTTTGCGTTTTCCCGCTGCGCTAGCTGCTGAACCAGGGTTGATGGCACAAGCGACCATAGCAGTCTCGGAGAAAGTGTCCGTGCACGTGGCGTCCCATGCAAGACATTTTCCACTTGCGAATGGGAAAGTTGTTAGGCCGTCCGGGCGCTTGCCGTCCCCTCTGTCGAGGCCCACCGGTTCCAGCACGGATGGGACGCCAGAGACGGAGAGGCTGCGTTTTATTAGGTCGTTTATGTGGGCATGTCGAGGGAATCGACCGGCGCTCTTCTGACAGGAAAGGGCGTGATGTCCCAGGCGTCCAACTTGGCGACCGCAAAGACGGCATGTGTGCGGCTCACAAATTGGGACTCCCAGACGAAGAGCGACCGCAATTCTGACAGTCTCTGGGTCTAGGTGAAGGCCGAGGCTGGGGACCGGTATCGCTTGCAGCCAGGCGGCGGTATGATCCTGACTGGCGGCAAGAAGACGAGCTCTGTGCATTTGGTCAGCGTCACTGAGTAGTGCATTTGGTCAGCATTTGGTCATCGTTCTTTCTAGCATGACTTTCCAAGTCGGAAGTCGCATTCCAGTGGCATTCGATGTCAGCGTAAAGTACCTGTCTTTACTCTTGCACATCACCTCACATTTGTGGTTCTTTAGCAAATCCCACCAGCAGCGCCTTCCTCATGAGTCATTACCCAGTAGGTATTATCGACAGTCGACACAACCTGCTGACCCAACACTCCTCCCAGTTGAAGAGGACGGATCAGGCCGCACCCCTCCCCCCCCCCGCCGCCTCCCAACCGAGAGAAAACATTCACCTGACGGCAACACAGTCCGCACCGGCCCAACCATCAACCGGCAGAAACCATCCGCCAGACGCCGATCGTTTCCGCGCGGTGAGCGGCGGTCCGGGACCAGTCAGCTGTCTCTGGTCCCGGACCAGTCAGCTGTCCCTGGTCCGGGACCAGTCAGCTGTCCCTGGTCCGGGACCAGTCAGCTGTCCCTGGTCCGGGACCAGTCAGCTGTCCCAGGACGGTCCTCAGACTATGGCCAGGTCAAAGTGAATTGTTACCTAGACCGAGGCCAACAGTCCCCGCATCATGGCCAAACTCGTAGGCTAGTGTCCAGCGACATGAAATGGGTTCGAAGGATGTCTATGATCGCCAAAATGGAAGGTGACTGGTGACCCTGAATGTACCTATCCATAGATAACATGAATCTATGATTCATGTTCTCTATATGACCTATCCCATGGTCGATTCCTCGGGTGCCCGGAGTGCCTATTTGGTGGACATTTTCAAACGTCCGTGAAGGAAAAAGTCTACTTTAGGAAAACACAACCTTGTAACAACGACAACCCAAGAGCGATTCAATGAACCCTCGCCTTGACGGTAGTCCGTTCATAAAACATCAAGGATTGTAAAATTGATCAACTGTCGCTGTCGCTGCGTGGCTCAGGAGTCCGAAACCGAGTTAGAGGGGTGCAATAACATCTCCCTGCCAGGGCGTGGGTCAAGCAAGCCGCGGCGTGGCCGGCGTACGGTCTCCTAAGGTTCGGCAGCCGACAGAGGAGTCAGTCAAATGCGTGACACGATGTCATGTGCCGTTTGTGGCCCATGGACATACTCCATCCTATCAAGGACTTAGGTACTCTCATATTGCTTGTATTGACTGGGCCGTAATAGCCACCTGTGGATCAGCCCTAATAAACGAATTACGAATTACGAATTACGAATATCAACGCACTTTTTTCAATGCGACGAGCGATCCTACGTTCGTACAGTTTATGTCCTACGTTCCTGCAGCACAGCATTCGGCGAGGAAGTAAAGGTTTGTAACTGCATAAGACATTCAAAAAGACAGACCAAATATGAGCGAGTGCCATACCTAAGTATAAGGTATGTACCGTTTATTCCACCAGCTAACGAACAGCGAGACAAATGAAGCGATGAGTCTTAGCATTGAACTGAGGTGCTTCTCACACAAATGCCATAACAGTTATTTGCCTGATTCTTGACTAATGTGAGCGTTAATTAAATTCACGAAAAGGGAGCCAAGTGGCCATGCTCGGGCAGTCAAGCGGCAGCAGTGGATTCCTCCATTCGCAAATCGCAATACATCACCGGGACAAATGCGTAACGGGAAGATGAGCGGTCCCGGACGACAACAGAAAACGATGAGCTGTATATATATATCCGGTGAAAAACATATTAAATTACGATTTAACTTCTAAATTATACTGAACTTCCCAAAAAGGCATCAAATAAACAACAAACACCCATCAATCACGACAAATCATGAATCAACCAATGCTCTGTTGCCCGAGACATTGTGAAAGCTCATTAATATGTACCCTGTTTTGAGAATTGATGCAACTCATTACAAATCACAGCCAGGAATAACTCATAACGTCAAAAAAAATGCAATATGGCAACAAAATTGGCAGCTAAGCTCACACGACTAATAACCCAATATCACAAAGCAGGCGAATATGCATGCCAATACTTCAAACAGAAATTGATAACTAACTAGCGCTCTCACAAATTTGTAACACAAAAATTACTTCACACGTCAAAACTCATTAGCGCTCTTGCGCCCACACCATAAAATGTGCGCCAAAAGTCATATAATCTATGTCAGCCCGTCTTTTTTACGGCGTCACATCTATGCATGTACCTATGTAGTGTTCCTACCTACACCCACTATCTGGCTACACATAACACGTAAGTAGAGGGTGGCGGCCGGCCAGGGCTCACGGCACCCAAGAGCCGAGTCGGCGCCACTTTGGCACAGACCAGTAGCCGTCCACACAGGCTGGCGATAGGCAGCGGTGTCAGAACCTGAGCAGTCACATGGTGAACAAACTTAACTCAGGGTAGCAACTGAAAGCCTGTCAGCCTACGACAGTGATTACACCAAAACTTTGGTGCTCAGGACAGTAATGAATGTTGTAGCACAACAACAAAAGCTGCAGTGGAGCTAGAGCCTATCTGTCAGGTAGACAGACATTTACATTCAGCACAGAGACATGGACTTCTGCACGAATATCACTCTGATAAATAGTCAACTGTCTTCAGTTGCTCCTTCCAGTTCCATTTAGCGTCTTTCAGACCACTGCTTGCCTCGGCAGCTTGGCACCCTGTCCCTTACTGTATCACTTTTGGACCGATCTAATCAGTTTTCTCAGTTCTGGCCCTATCCGGTTCGGCAATATGAAGGACGCTCATCGGCCACTGACTAGAAGCAGACCAGACTATTGTGGCGATTTCATCACTGAGACCACACTATTGTGGCGATTTCATCACTGCTCTCTCGATATCCTCGTCCCCATCATCACAATTCACAGTCCTACACCCAGCACTCTCGTTTCCCTTCGCACGCTCACAAGTGTCACACCCCCAGAAGCGTCTTCACAGCCCCTCCTCCTCGACTTCCTGTTCGATCTTCACCTCGCACTCTATCCGCCCTACCTTCACATCCTCGAGCACCCCGGGCTGGCGTCCGCGCCCGGCAGGGTGGCCGTCCGTGGTGTACGTCATGTGCCTCTGGGTCCGGTGTCGCGCGAACCAGCGCACGCTCTTGTACACCTGGCCGCAGTCGGACTCGGGACACTGGAACGGACCGCTGTCCCGGTGACACTTCTCGTAGTGCTGTATGAACTTGGCCGCCCGCCGAAACTCGGTGTCGCACTCCAGACACCAGACGGACGGGAGGCGCGTGTGGAACCGCTGCACGTGGTAGGCCGCCGAGCGCTCAGAAACGAAACGCTTACCGCACTCCGAGCACGAGAAGCGCTTGCCGACCACGTGCTGGCGCACCATGTGACGTTGAAGGCAGCGATGGGACTTGAAACGCTTGCCACACTCGCACTTGAAGGTCTTCTCTTCATTGTGGGTATGCATGTGCTTGGTCAGGTAGTGAGAGAACTTGAAGAGCTTGTTGCACTTGTCGCACTTAAAGGTGGGTTTTGTGGTGTGAGTGAGCATATGGGTCGCGAGGTAATATTTTGCTTTGAAAGCCTTATCCGGGCAGATGGAACACTTGAATGGACGCTGGGCCGAGTGCACCAGTTTGTGTCTCAGCATGGCCATCTGGTCGAAGAAGGTCTGGTTGCACAAGTCACACTTGATCGGCCGCTCACCGACGTGCACTCGACGCACGTGCACACGCATGACGCCCGGTTTCGTGAACGTCCGGTCGCAGTGCGGACATTCGTGGCCCTTCTCCTTGCTGTGCTTATTCTTGACGTGCGTGCGCAGACTGGAGCCTTCGCGCGCCGCGAACTGGCAGCCCTCCACGTCGCACTTGTACGGCCGGTCGCCCGTGTGAATACGCTCGTGAGCCTGCAGCGAGAACTGCGAACGGAACGCCTTGTCGCAGAAACGGCACTGCTGCGGCTTCTCGCCCGTGTGGGTCATGTGGTGCAGCCGCATGTTCGCAGCGAACTTGAACCCCTTGGCGCACACCGGACACTTGTGAGGACGCGCCTTGCTGTGAGCCTGGTAGACATGGCGCGCCAGGTACTTGCTGGTTGCGAAGGACTTGCCGCACAGCCGACACTCGTAGTCCTTCACGCCCGAGTGCAGGCTGATGTGCGTCCGAAAGTAGCAGAGCTCTCCGTACAGCACCTTGCGGCAGACGGGACAGCGGCGGCCGGCACCGCTCTCGTGGTCGGACATGTGCTCCTCGAACGCGTCAGCCGAGGGCAGCGTCACCCGGCAGCGGGCGCAGCGCCACTGCGACGGGCCGTCGTCGGGCGCCGCAGGTCCGTCACCCACCGCGCCACTGCAGACCTTACGGGGCCTGCCGCGCCGCTTACCGCCGGCCGCGGAGGGCCCGTCACCCGCCGGACCACTGCGGACCCCGGGCGGTCTGCCCCGCCGTCTAACACCCACCGGGCCGCCGCTGGCCGAGAGAGGCCCGTCACCCGCCGGATTACTGCGGACGGCGGGCGGCCTGCCCCGCCGTCTACCACCCACCGGGCCGCCGCCGGCAGCTGGGAGTCTGTCGTCCGCCGTATCACTGCGAACCGTACGGGGCCTGCCGCGCCGCTTGCCGCCGGCCACGGAGGGCCCGTCAACCACCGAGCCACTGCGGACCCCGGGCGGTCTGCCGCGCCGTCTGCCGCCAGTCGCACCCTCCGGTCCGGCGGTACCGGAGTGAGACGGTCGCGCATCATCGGCGTCCAACAGCGGCACGTCCTCCGAGGTCGGCAGCAGCGGGCCGCAGCCGAGGTCGGGCGCCGTCTCGGTCTTGATGAACAGGCAGGGGGAGTCGACCCCGGCCGGCGTGACCGAGCCGACGGCGGCCAGCACCAGCCGCAGGTCATCGGGGTCGTCCGGGTCGCTCAGAGGCTCCTCCTTCACCTCCAGCTTCGGAACGACGTCCAGATCCTCCGCTGGGCTCACGGCACGGTCAACATTCTCCGCCGACCTCAGGACAGGATCCAGTCCATCCTCCGGCCGCTGGACAGCATCTGGATCATCTGGATCATCTGGCCGCTGGCGCCGACGCCGCGGCATCGTGCTCACCTGACCAGCTGAGAAACATGGGGAGTGAAACACCATCTAATCCACTGACTGTCAGGTAAGTAACTACTGGATCTTCACTTGGACCCTAACATCCTTTAAAGGGACCCTCCCACCTTCAAAAAAGTTAATGAATTGGCACGAAAGTGATGTCGCTCGGTTCAGAAAGAGCGAAAACGAATATCTACCAAATTTCATCGAAAAATATTCACCGGTTTTCAAGATATTAGACTTTTACTTTTGTTTACTTTTTGGGATCTCCGCTGTTCCTAGCGACTTTATTTGAAAGTGCGGCATTTGTTGCGCGCAAAGCAGCATGTATCATGTATCATGTATTACAACAATCACGAATGCCGGTTGGCCCTGGTGATGTTAAATCTGGTTCACACATCATGCACACATCAGTATCGCACATACACACAAGTACATACACACAAGTACATACCTACTCACATTACTACTGATTTTAGATTGATTCATTCTGCATTACTCATGAGCAATTTCAATTACAATCACGTTTACGCCGAATTTACATGTGTTTGAACGTTTTTCCGAAAATCTTCCACAGATTCGGCTTCCATCATGCTGGGCAAAAGTTGGTTCCACTCTCTTATGGTTTTTGGGAAAAACGAGTTATGGTACTGAAGTAATCTCGACGGAAGTCTCTCTATCTTTTTAGGGTGATCACTCCGTGATATATAGCTAGGTTCACATATAATTCTACTAACATCTACTTTCATGTTGCCATGGTGTAATTTGTACAGTAAGCATAATCTCGCCTCTCTACGTCGGCTTTCTAGGGATACCCATCCTATTGTGGCCAGCATGTCAGTAACACTGCTATGTCGGTCGTAGTCATTAAGTATAAATCTAGCAGCACGCCTTTGAACCATTTCCAGCTCATGCTTCATGCCCTCTCCCCATGGGTCCCAAACAGAGCTGGCATAGTCTAGATGTGGCCTAACAAGGGACAAATACATGATTTCCTTTACAGCCTGTGGGCAATCCTTGAAATTTCGCTTAATAAATCGTAGCATCTGATTCGCTTTACCAGTGACATGTTGTACATGATTTTGCCAGGTACATTTATTCGAAATATGCACGCCTAAATATTTGAACTCATTGACAACCTGAACTTCTATTCCATTCAAATAGTATCTAGGCATTGCAGCAAGTTTTTGCTTTGTCATTCTCATGATAGCACACTTTCCAACATTAATAGACATTTTCCATTTGGAACACCATTGAGATAATCTATTTATATTTGCCTGTAACGAAAAACTACATTCTTCATTGCTTAAGATGTCTGTGTAAAGAACAACATCATCTGCATATAATTTTATCTGACAATTAATCATATCCGGAAGATCGTTAATATATAAAAGAAATAATATTGGACCCAATACACTCCCTTGTGGGACACCGGACGTAACTCTAATCACATCAGAATAACAATTATTAACCAGAACTCTCTGCGTTCTATTATATAAGAAGGCTTCAATCCAGCCAAGAACGTTATCATCTAAATTATACATTTTTAGTTTAGTTAAGAGATGTTTATGTGGAACCCTATCAAACGCCTTACTGAAGTCAATGAATGCCAAATCAACACTCTTTTTCTTGTCAATGGATGACATAATATCCTGATAAAGCAGTAACAGTTGTGACTCACAAGAAAGATGTCTTCTGAATCCATGCTGACTATCAGAGAATAGGTCAAAATCATCTAGGTGCATCACAATATGGGAAACTAAAATACGCTCCATCATTTTACAACATATACATGTGAGCGAAATTGGACGATAATTTACAGGTTCTTTGGTACTGCCCCCTTTGAAAGCTGGGTGCACTGTGGCTTGACGCCAATCGTGAGGAATGTCTTTCATATCAAGAGACTGTTCGAAAATCATTTTGAGGTACATTGCGACCACTTCTGCGCAATGTTTTAGAATAGCCCCGCTAATGCCATCAGGGCCACACGCTTTGTGGACCTTAATATTTTGTAAGAGGCCTACGATGCCATGATAACTAATAAGAACCGGCGGCATAACCTCCGACGTGCGAGTGCAATCGCTCAATGATGTTGTATCTGTATCATCTTCCTCACAAAATATCCCTTTGTATTGATTGTTAAGAATATTTGCTATATCCTCCGGGTTGTGGACAATGTTCCCACTCTCGGATACAATAGAGGTAATGCCCGTTTTTTTAGTCCTTTTTGCTTTAACATACTTCCAAAAATGTCTATTGTCTTCTTTCAAGAGCGACCCAAGCCTACTTTTGTAATTGGACTCTGCTTCTTTGTATGCCTGTTTTACAACCGCCCGAATTTCTCTATACCTTTGCAGAGAAACAGCAGATTTGTAAAATTTTGCTTCTCGATGAAACCGTCTCTGTTTGTCTTCGAGACGTTTAAGTCTAAGACTGTACCACGGAGGATCTCCGTTAATGGTAAAGGCACGGGTAGGTATGCTACTTTCTACATTACTTATCGCCTCTTTGAACATAATCCAGTTTTCATCAACGGTCCGTGAAAGTGCTTCTTCACGAAATTGTATGAAATATTGATAAAGACGCTGATTTATATCTTCAAAATTGGCTCTATTATATTGTTTTATCTTTCGTTTTACTTTTGGTTGTCGTGCTACATCCTGGGTTTGGAATATCACAGCTAAATGGTCACTAATGCCCAAACATGTGTGAAGGTTGTTAACTAGTTGAGGAACGTTAGTTATAATTATGTCCAGAATGTTGCTAGCGTGTTCAGTTACCCTGCATAGGTACCACGGGTACCTATGCAGGGTAACCAGCATATAGGTACCACGGGTACCTATATGCATATAGGTACCACGGGTACCACCGCGGCCACCGCGTGCTACCAAACGTTTTAGTCAAAGATTTAAAAATCGTTAGATCTCCGATGACGTCACAAATTCTAAGGGGGCATACCAATGCACTAGCCCCTTAGAATCCGAAAACTGCAAGTTTGAAATTCCATATCTTCGAATTAAAGCATTTGTCGATGTTGTGAGTGCCCAAACAGGTATTTGCAGGCCATGGCCACCAATTTGGCTATCTCAACTCAAAACTAATGTTAAGGTGGGAGTGTCCCTTTAATGCATCTGTACAAGTAGGGAACACAATATCTATGATCAGCAGACAGTAGCACACTGAAGCTCCCTCACATAACTACAGAGCAAAGATGAGCATCAATGTTATGGAAGTGTTACCAAATTGAAACAAATTATAAGCATTGGTTTATAATTTGACCCCCCCCCCCCAAAAAAAAAAGTTAGTCCCAGCAAATTACTTTTAAAAAAACAGCAATATCCCAGGTAAGGAAAAACTGTGACAATTTGAAAACCAGGCTCCAATATGACCAATATCAAATGTATTTTGACACTTGACAGACCTTATAAGTTATAGCAGTTCAAGTTTGTTTTTACACAGGTTCTTCTTACAACCCTGGAGTAAAGAAACCTTACTGAAAATATCATCAGATAGGTATCTAGCAATGGCTCCCCAAATGATGTCAGTGGGACAGGCATACTGGGGTCAAATGCTCATGTGAACCAAATGTCGAGCTGGTGCCCTTGGTGGTGGTCTCTTATACGGCCTTGGTGGTGGTGCAAAATGGACCTGTAGAGGGCAGGGCTGTTAGGGAATGTGGGGTAGGGATTTGTAGCATGTGTTGCACCAACCTTATACAGAAGACTTGCAGGCTGCATACCATGACAAGCAAGTGGAAATAGTGTAAATGGAAATATCTTATTTGAAGACATGTGAAGAAGGAACCAAATGATAAATGCATAGGGCCCTTTATTATTTCTCTAGAGGTAAAAAAGTGAAGCCAAGCTATCATGATGATGTTAGACAATCATCACAAATAATTAGCAGGATAATGATTAAATGAAAAGACAAAAACCTTACCATTCATCTTTAAATCTGCCGAGGGGCTCAAATCAAAATAGGATGTAACAGGAAGTTGTAAAATGTGGTAAAATGAGTAACTGAATAATTATTCAACCATTTTTCAAGGAAAAACAAAAATGTTTGCATCAAATCATGCTTTCATGCAATCAACAACACAATAATACAAGCACAACATCCTGATCCAAACCTTCCATCTTTAAACTTGTCCTTGATATTTCAATTTGACACCACATTTGACACATTATTTGACACCATATTTGCACCATATTTGACACAACGTACAGGTTCCAATTCAAATAAACGAAAATAAACTGCATTGCGATACCTGTCGTCGCCGAACGCCTTGCTCAAAACAAAAAATGATAATTTTGCTCACAGTACCAGTACATCCCAAGAAACCCAAGCCTTTCCATTCCAAAAATATTGATATCAGTGACACTGAACCGACTGAACGGATTGCAAGAATGGTTCGCACCGGACCGACGCAAACACTTACCAGTCGATGGTTCAGTGAACACAGGTTCTCGACCGAGACCAAGGCCCTAAACGAGACTGTAGAACCGTCTCGATCAATAAGAAGAGAACCGCGGGATCTGAGGATGATATTGATATGCAATGATAGTGGTGGCCAAGGTGGTGGCATGAATAATGAAAAACGTTAGCTCCAGATGTCGTTGCAAGCCGCGATAGATGTCGCTGCAGTCGACCTCCGATCGTACGTACGCTGCTCGGTTTGCTCACACTCAGTTCGCCCGCCCCTCCGCAATGTGTTCAACCTCAGTTTTCACATTTAGGCTAGGACATCTGATTTGTCAATAGATAAACAAATCAGCTAATTAGTGAAGCAGCCGTGACTTAGCAAATGCCGATCGCCCCGGCCCCCGTCCTGTCATCTGCCCTTCCGTCCAGCACGCTGATTGGCAACGGACCTTCGCCACCAAAACCAAACTGTCAGCGCGACTGTGAACTGATTTATTTACCACATGACCCATTAAAACAACGTCCCGGCCCGGGGCCGAGAGGTCAGCCGGCGGACCCGTCAGACGAAGTAACAACTGAGCCTCGCCCGGGGCACGAGACGCCCGACGGGCGCCGATTTCGGGCGAGACGGGCGGCGAGGAATGTGGCCGACCAGACGGCCGACTAGAGGAGAGAGGGAGGGGGTCGGACGACAGTCAAACACCGGGATTTGCCAGTCCGCGCCACTGGCAGAGACATCTGACGGCGCCGCCGAGAAGCACAGGTCCACATCGCACACCGAGGGGGCGGTCACATCGGGAGCCAATCAAGCGGCCGCTAGCACGCCAACAAACGACCTACACCGCCACACTGACGCTCACGCCACTGACACTAACCAAGGAAGCGTTATAATCTATTGGAATAACATAAAAATATATGCGCGTTTATGCACGTCCGCGGCTATGTCATTTACCGTTCGCTGTTACAGATACATGCGATTAAATCACAACATCGGGTCGAGGGTGCGCATCGCTCGTCGGTCCGTGCGGGCTCTGCCGCCGGGCCGGTCCGCCCCGCAGGAGGCGCGGCCGACCGCCGGGCGCGTGGGTAAGCGCGCTACGCTGTGTGAGTCCTGTGTGTGTCTATGCGTGTATATCACATATGACAAAGTTCGCCCGACGCTGGCACCTCTCATATCATCCTGTCGGACCGACGCTGCCTGAAAGGTCAGCAGTTACCCGGGACCCGCTGGGAGCCCGTTCACGGCCCGCTGGGAGGCCGCCGAGCCCATAGGGCGCCGGCCGGTGACCCCGGCACACCCCACCCCCACACTAAAGCACTCCGGGGTGTGTGTGTGTATGTGTGTGTGCCCCGCCGGTCCGCAGGGGCCGGCCGTGCCTGACCGAGCAGTGCGGCGCGGCTAGCACGAGCAGTTCTCCTTGGCTGTGGAAGCCTGGGCGGTGAGCGTGGTGGCGCGGCCGCCCTGCTGGCTCGGCTTGTGCTGCACGCCCGACTCGGCCGCGTTCAGGTCCAGACTGCCGTCCTGGATGTTCTGGTAGATCTTCTTGGCCGTCTCCAGAAACGCCTCCTCCACATTGTTACCGCTGACGGGGGACGGCAGACGAACGGTCACTTGGCGAGTAACGTGCATGCCGTACTTAATACATATCAATACAACGACGACCAAAACACCCATCAAGCCATTAATCAGCCCTACTGGCATATCGTTACTCACGTTTTGGCGCTAGCTTCGACAAACATGAGTCCATTCTCGTCAGCGAACTGCTGGGCCTCTTCGAACGTGACGTCCCGCTGGGCCTCCAGGTCACACTTGTTCCCTATCAGAAATATCACCTGGGAAACAGAGCACAGGGCCTCCAGGTCACACTTGTTCCCCATCAGGGATATAATCTCGAATGAAATGAGCTTTTAAGCATTGGTTTCAATGGTAAACACGGATAATGAGATCCTATCATTCTCTATGTAAACAAACGAGCAAAAACATGGTAAGCAAACCAGCGATAACAGATAAGTTCAGAGTAGGATATCAATGCATCTAATCAAGAATAAGTGGGAAATAATCATCATAGTGGGAAAAACACATTAAAATAAATAAACGGCCACACAATGAGCGCCGGGTGCCCCTTGGAAGCCCTGAGTGCAGCGAAAACTGGTCTGTGGCCATTCTTATAAAGAAAAGAACGGAGCGACGCTCCGTCATTTCTGAGATTAGACGGAATTTGGTTATCATAAAAGGACGAGAACGGAAGACGGAACCCGTTCAAAGAACGAAGCAAGCAGAAACAGCGGTCATAAAACCATCAAACCAAACACAGTTCAGATATTTTTTAGAGATATTTCCCTTTTCCGAAAGATGAAATAGCAGTTACTATCCCCAATTTCGCCAACACACCGCTAAAAGGGAGCCCCACACGCATTTGTAGGTGTCCCCCCAGCCCGCCCCAAGCGCCGGTGGCCGTTTGCTGCCGACGGTATGCCGGTGCCAGGTGTGGCGACCTTGGCCTGCGAGCGTCTGTACAAAGTGGCGCGTCATCCCCGCGCCCGGCCGGACACTGAGGCCTACAACGACGTAAGATGGACTGGCCAACCGCCGCCCCGGCCGGCTACTGGGGCCTACAATGACGGGAGATGAGCTGACCAACCGCCGACCGGCCGGAGAGGCACCGCCAGACACGGCACCACTGCGCTCAGAGTGAACACGAGAGGAGTCTGGCGGGTACCCGGCAATGACAAACGAAAATGACCACTGTTTACAATGGACAGTGGAGCGAAAGCAGCGACGCCATCGGCGTTTATGCGCGGTGCTGCTCAGGGGTGCTCTGACGAGCCGCGTATCGATAAGATAACGAGTGTGATGCTACGACTTAATATGTCCGCCTCATAGTTAAGCGTGAGTCATCGAAACACAAAGAGGCACATGTTGTGAAGGACAGATACTGCAATGACATGGTTACCGATGTTTCAATTGTGATTTTTCAAGAAGTTTAACTGATTCCAATGTAAATTTCACATAAATTTAAACGGGTGATTTGTCATGCTGCAGCGTGAAATTGATGCAAATCTGTCGCAAAGCACTTAAATCGGTGCCACGTTGAGTCCAGTTCGTTTCAGGGGCATATAATTTCGGTCCCACACCTCTCAGCACACGGGCGCCGCGCCACCAGCACTACCGACGGCACCGGCGGCCAGCTGTTGGGACAGCTCCGGTCCGGACGCCCGCATTACAGCGGAGCCTGCATGGCTTCAGAGTCCGTAACGGACCCGATTTGCCAATGTCCGCTGGCAATCAAACCACTGAGCTTGCGAGGCCCTCTCCTCTAGAACTGAGATTTCAGGTTGTCTGCGTTGTTGCCGTAAAACTGGTAGAACCTCGCAAATCCACTAATAATGACGTTGGGGTTGGTGAGGTTGTCGTCTTCAACCAGGTAACGACAACCTCACATAGTACTATGCGAGGTTGTCGTCACCTGGTTGGAGTTGGTGTGGTTGTCGTTATCGCGTTAAAGTTGATGAGGTTGTCGTTACTATGTAATGTTGCAGTTACCGTATTCGGGTTGGTGACGTTGTTACCGTATTCGGGTTGGTGAGGTTGTGTTTCGTTACCGCTGCCATGTTGTTACCGTATTCGGGTTGGTGAGGTCGTCATTAATGTTATGTTGTTTGTAGTTGCCGTCAGCCGTGTTCGGGTTGGCGAGGTTGTCGTTACCGTATTGGGGTTGGTGAGGTTGTCGGTACCGTATTCGGGTTGGTGAGGTTGTCGTTACCGGATTGGGGTTGGTGAGGTTGTCGTTACCGTATTGGGGTTGGTGAGGTTGTCGTTACCGTATTCGGGTTGGCGAGGTTGTCGTTACCGTATTGGGGTTGGTGAGGTTGTCGTTACCGTATTCGGGTTGGTGAGGTTGTCGTTACCGTATTGGGGTTGGTGAGGTTGTCGTTACCGTATTCGGGTTGGTGAGGTTGTCGTTACCGGATTGGGGTTGAGCAGTTGGTAAGGTTGTCGTTACCGTATTCGGGTTGGTGAGGTTGCGCGCGTCCGTCAGCCAGCTGCTCAGGTGGTTGTACGTCGAACGACGGGTGATGTCGTACACCATCAGAGCGCCGGCCGCCCCCCGGTAGTACGACCTGTACGACACAGATACGACAGGGTCACAGACAGTGAGCAGTGTGAGCGGATGACCGGGTGAGTCGTGGATGACCGGGGGAGTCGTCTCACATGTACCGACTAGAGGTTGAATCATCACGCAGTGACCTTATCTGAACGTGCCGAACTTCTTCATACCACACATCGGCGAACGTGAAGGGACAACAATTGGTGAGTAGCGTCTTTTGGTAAGACTAGGGACGGGGACATTTTCCCATGATGTAACAGTCTGGATTTGTGCGAACAGTGACCCTGTGTCGATCATTAACATAAAGTCATGCATTCGAGAACAAGTTTGCGTTGCATCTTTGGCATCGAGTGCCGCGTCAGTCCGCGGGGGAGCCCCTTGCTTACAGTGACGCTGTGCCGTGCACCGTCACCAGTAGGGCTTCACTGTCAGTGGACACAGGAAACAAACAGGGATTCACAGGCTGATTCTCTTTCGGGTACGCTGGCATTAGGGTCTGGTAAGAAAACAGCATATCGCTGTAGTTCCCTTTTTCAAACATACAGCAAAATGTTTTTACGTCAGACTTAAGAATACACGTCACAAGATGATAATAAATATCGACCAGGAGCAGTTTTCCCGAAAATAATCAAACATATCCTGTGATTCTCACATTCCGGGAAGATATCAAATTATCAAATTACTATTCCATGATTCAGGAAATTCCAGCTAATTCTAGTATATTCCAGTTTATTTAGACATGCCCCGCTCCGCAAAACCAGTCAATGTCACATATCACGGCCATAAACTCAGACCGACTTGTCCGTGTGTATTGGTCGACGGAGAGCAAGGCGAGCCCCCCCCCCCCCTCCCTCCCCTCCCCAGCCCAGAGTCCCCCCCCCCTTCTCCGGCTTCACAATTGACTCAGGACACACACTCGTTACCAGCTGTCAATCCTGCCCCCCCCCCCCTCCCCTGTCCCGCCCGCCCGGCTCCCCGCCCCACCACAGGGGACCGGGGAGGGGAGGACGTTTACAATGTGAAATACGACCCACACTCAGGAATGACCAATGACCATCGAGTACCAATAAAAGTACGACGGGTAGTCGTCGGAAGATAAACAGGGTAGGATTATCAGAGCCGAACGGAGTGCGGTAATGAACCCATGGCGAACGATCAGTTATCTACCCACAGAACCAAAGACGAATTCTGCCGCTCAGTCAGACTGCGGTGTAAGTCACACCGATTCATTCAAACATTGTGGTAGACTGTGACTGAATCCGAAACGGGTTAGTATTTTGAACGACTTTACATAAAACAAACAAATACTGATAACAGGCGTAAATGGGTGGGAAAGTCAAATTCAATGTTCATTACGGACACATTCATGGAGATGATACGTAAACTCAGCTTATCTGTGTTTTGCCAACAACAAAAAGACTGGGAAAATCAGTCAATGTTTTGTCAATAGATACCTCAGTCGACGAGTAAGTAAGATCATCTGCCTTTATCGCAAAGATATGATAACGATAATGCTATGTTTACAATTCAACGAGGACCGTGCGGCGCAGGGCGCGCCACTGTCCCTGCAGCCTGCTACTGCATGAAAGTGATACTTTTGAGCTCCTGATCGGACATTAGCCTCGCTACCCCAACGGCATCGGGCAGACGACGACGGTCTTTGTAGATGTACCAACGACGTGGCCTCGTGTGACCCACCAATGAGCTTGTGATCCCACTATATAAACTAGCAATGATCTAGTGACCTCCACTACATGTCACTGACCTTGTTAGCTGTAATCCCACGATATAGCCCGAAACTGAGCTTGTGGCCCCAATATCCCACCCTCACTGATCAGTGCTGGAAATGAGGCCGCTTTCTGGTCCCGGCGTTTTATTCTCCTCGCGGGTTAATCCCGTCCAGCGTTTAGCCTTTCGGGACCCACTCAGGGTCGCGGTTGTTTTCGCCGCTCGCCCCAGTCGAGATGCTAAGTTAATAGTCACACGAAGCTTTTTAGGGCCAGCCAAACCAGTCTAGTCTGGAGTTACTGTTAAATGTATGCATATAGATGAAAGAAAAATGTTTTGTAGAATCGATTAATTTCGAAGTCGTATATTCAGAGGCCCCAAATAAACTTCGTGCGACTATCAACTTTGCATCTCGAATGGGCCGAGCGGCGAAAACAACCGCGGCTCTGAGAGGGTCCCGAAAGGCTAAGCGCTAGACGGGGCTAACTCACCCGGAGAATAAAACGCCGGGACCAGAAAGCGGCCTCATTTCCAGCACTGTCACTGATACCACTACATATATCGACGCATTTTTCCGTAGCCCATATCTGTTCTCCGGTAAATTTCCGGGAAGAACGAAAGATCCCTTTAAAAAAGTGCCCAATCAACCGATCCTGATCAAATGTGTGTGCACTGTGCTCGTAAGGTTATTCTGGTATTACTTGATCTAACAAACTTGAAAAAAAAAATCGAGTGACTGTGCCTTTTTTAATGTTTCTATCCAACCCATCGGAAATTCACGAGAGAGAAGTCACCTGCTGGGTTTGGAAAACCGCGTCGATATCACGACCCCCAATGACCTTATGACCCCACCATGTAACCCGCCACTGGCCTTGTGACCCCACTATATAACCCGCCACTGACCTTGTGACGATACATCACTCATCACTGACCTTGTGAGTTGTGACCCACTCCATCAACCCTCCCCCAGGCCCCATGACACCTTATGACCCCACTATGTGACCCCCGCCACTGACCTTGTGACCCCAACTAGTCATCCCCCACTGACCTTGTGAGTTGTGACCCAACTATATCCCCCCCCCCCACCACCACCACCACCACTGACCTTGTGACCCCACCATATAACCCGCCACCGACCTTGTGACGGCCCGGAAGCGCTCCTGCCCGGCCGTGTCCCAGATTTGCAGTTTAATCTTCTGTCCACTGACCTCGATGATTCGGGTACCGAACTCCACGCCGATGGTGTGCGGACAGTCGGCCATAACTGGTCAGAGCGACGGGCGGACAGGCAGAGTCAGAGAGCGGGCGGACGGGCAGTCAGAGAGCGGGCGGACGGGCAGAGTCAGAGAGCGGGCGTACTCCATGGGGGAGGGCGGAGATGACCTTTGTGCGCGCAGATACACATGCCTGCATGTTTGTTGGTTGAGTCTCAATGCCATGTTGTGTAATAGATACACGAATGATGTCACTGATCAACTTCTCGTTTTTATGATAATTACAATGTTTTAGCACGCTGTATACATACTAAATGCCTATTCGAGTTACAATTGAAACACTTGCTGAGCACAAACTGAAATATTCACTTGCAGCACAAGTAGCAGGCATTCCATCACAGAGCCACCAAGTGACTTACATTTCTTTTCCGTGAATTGATGAAGCAGACAGGATTTCCCCACGCCCATGTCGCCTATGATGATATATTTAAAGATGTAGGAGTAGTTGTATGGGCCCGCCGCCATGGTGGAGTTGATTTTACAAAACTGAAATCAGAGAGCATGTCAGCATCAGAAACAATAAGCTGAGAGAAGAAGTGCAATATTTCTGAAATGGCTGCATTCAACCAATGTTGAAAAAAATGCCTGACAAGTGCTTTTATACTGCAAATTACTAATTTTAAAGATGGACAGCCCTTTGTGTATGGGCAGTCAATTAGTATGGTATATGAAATTCAGCTCCAAAGGATGAAACTGGGAGTCACAGGATTGAATTGTGGATACCAAGCAGCCAGTGAAAACAACTGTGTGGCTAGTGGCTACAGCAAGCATTTATAAATTCCTAGAGTGAGGCCATTTTACATGGCTTGATTACCCCAACCTGAGCTTAGGTGGTCTGGCCCCCTGGGACTGTAATTTTTACAATATTGATATATGTAGATAATGGATGCCAAGCTATGGCAGCAGTATAGGTTTTTTTTTCAAACATTGAAATGCTTTGATCCTGTGGATGCTTCCACCATACAATAAATTGAAAATGAAAACCAGCTACCAACACAAAGTCATGCAAAATAAAATATCATTGGCTATTACTTATGAGAATAATTAGGTACTGTTTTCTGACAACACTTCCAAAATAAAGGTTGTTTGCCATCAACAAGTTCCACTTTTTGTAGCACTGGTGACAGGTCTAAACCAAAACTGCTTAGGTAAAGCTGAAGACTAGGACTCTATGTTCTCATTCATCTTCCCAAGGTGTTACCAACAGTGAACAGTGTCCCAAAATTGTATTCTGGCTTGCTTGTCAGAGGAAACTTTCTCACTGAAAAGGGGATTGGGATGAGAGTGGAAATTGGGCAGTTAGATAAGACCAAAAAGTGGGAAAGGATCCATAACAAAAGATAATGCAAGGCTGATAATTGGTATAATGATTGTAGGAAGTAAAACTAAAAACAACCATCCATGCCATGCAACTGTTTTTTTCTTGGTAAAATTGGGAAAGGAAAATGGGCTATTGAAAGTTGGTACAGGTGGGTGTGAAAGTGTCAAATGATTTTCATTTGGATGTCATTTGTCACCCAAATAAAAAAATTGCAACATTGGTCACTGGATCAAGGGCCCAATCTTACCAATGCCGTAAATAGGATTTGGCAGCACTGGCCGGATTTTACAGCTCTGATATCAAAGATATCTTTTTTATTCACATTCAGCTAATCTTGCCCAGTAATTTTGATAGTGTGAATGATTATGAATGTGGCCTGAATGAATTAATAAAAGAGTGTGGAATAGTTCTAAATGTTACCAAATGCAGTGAACAAGAAATTCATGGCATTTGGTAAGATTGGGTCCAGGTATACCTACTCGCCATAGGTGTGTGCTGGTGTGTATGGGTGCTAGTACTTCAGGTGTGCTGTTTGAAATAGACATATAAGGGCTATTGAGTGATCTTCATATCAGCATTCAGGACACACCACATCCAAAATTGTTGTGAACTATTGTTGCCCATTGGTGGAGCTTGGAAGGGCGCGGAACATGGCATGAGCCATGACCATAATGCACTTGACCAATGACAGGTAAGAATCCATGTATGAAGTAGTAACAGTTTGGAACTGCTGAAGTCAGCATCATGCTTATCACATATGAGACAGCCCTTAGGAAGGGAATGGTCACATGCTTTCATAGTAATTACCTGTCAGAATCAATGAAGACGTGAAACACGCAATTCGAGGCGGTGCCGAAATACAAGCTATTATCTGGCATACACGGATGTGCTAGGCTAATAATGCTAGAAGCTAACTTGCTAGTAACCCCACCAGTACGACACTCCCCAAAACACAATCAGAGGATTGAGTGGATTGAGCGGATTGAGATTGCAATGTATGTGATCCGCGAAATGGGGGGATTGCGAATTACGGATTGCTTTTCGTCCCTGTGCAGTGACGACTCCTTCCCTTTGCATCTCTCTAGCTTTCGTCAGCTGTTGTTGACAAAATCTTGTACAAAAAATGATTTTTGACGTTATTCACATTTTTCGATGGCCGATAGTACCAGAACAAAGATTCAAAACACATATTTGATGATGATGATAGACAAATAGTATAGTACATTTTGAAAAAAGCGAAAATATCGAATGAGATATTTTTTGCGAAAGCAAAGCAAAATATGCGTCGTGAATGTCGTCATTATGGGACCACCCTTTTGAGACCAAGCACTTTAGAAACCAACGATGGTCTTCTCAAAATATCACTAATAAATTACGTCATCAAAACAAGCAAAGCAAACTGTTTTATTTCTTTATTTTCCCTTTTAGCCTTATGGCTGTCTTTCGAATTGAAAGTTTTATGTTTTTTACAAGATTTTAAATTCACAAAATATCCTGTCTCACCCCATTGTATAGCAAAAACTGATTTACAGTGATTTGCGTTGATTTTACTTATTATGTCATCATAGCGATTTCTTTTCCAGCATTACAAGAATAGCGTTGACCTTGAAGTGAGTGGTTTTATATCAAGTAGGCAAGGCCCAGGGGGGGTCCGTCCCTTTACCGGGCCATAGGAGGAAAATTGCTACCAAATGCTGCCAATGTGACGTCACTGGGATGGTCGAAAGCTGATTGGTCGCTGAGATTCAGGCGATGCTGTCAATTCTGGCGCACCGGCGCAGTGTTTTCCAGCCGTTGCGTGTATTGTTATACGGAGTTTGAATATTGTTTATTTGATAATAATATCACTTTTTATGTGTTTGAAGATCGGAAAAGCATATACATAAGTGGCATTCACACACTTGTCGTCTCAGAGATCATGAAGAATGACCAGCTTCAGCAGTTTAGCTCAGGTATTCAATTAATTCAACTGTATAAGCATGAGTATCATAGGCAGATCAGCCACGTTTCAGTTCAACCCGGTTTAACCTTTTTTTGTCATTTTTGGCTTTCAAAGGGAGCATGATAATCTCATATTAAGTTGTAAAATACCTTAGCATTGTTTAAAACATAATGAGAAGGAGATTGGAGATGGAATAGTTGTAAATTGTTTCGGATCGGAAGTGGTTAGCTTCTATAAATCTTAATGCTTTGTGAAAATAACAACTTATTTGTCAAATTAAATAGTATCAAATAACAAATCAATCTATGCTTACCTCCCAGACTGGAAAAAAAAATTCACTCACTGTCAGATGCGTCAGGGCCCAGGGGCTTTCGGGTCTCAAAATTCAGCGCAAGTGATTTCTCACCAAAATTTTGGCACATCGTTTGTGCAAAGTTGAAGCTCATTGTTACTTCTTTTCAATATTAGTTGTTGCCAGATTTTATAATCTGTATCTAAACTTTCAAAATTGAATTTAAAAGGATTTCTGACATGCTTATTACCTACTGAAAATCCCATTCTTGTTTATGTAAATGTTATGTCATTGACATTTGCTAACTAAACAAGCTCATCCTTGTCTAATGTCTATATATTGGTTTCTATTTAGTATTTATACCACCTGTGCTACTACTAATTTCTATTTGTTGAGACTATTTACCTAATGCATTTGCTTCATATGATTTTATACGCAGACGCACCTGTGCATGGAACAGTAATGCCAGACCCAAATTCAAAATAATAATGAAAAATTGTGTTATTTGCTTGTTTCAACTGAATTCTGAGTCAGGCCTGCAATCAATACATAATATAAAATGGTACATGTTTTGAGGCTTCATATCAGCACATAGAAAAGGCAATCGAAGAAAAGGCACCTTTGGGCATTGATTATTTTTGCTTGCCATCGCTTAGTGAATTTTTTCATGTTGCATTGTGTTAATAAACTTGGTAATGTGTTTTGCAGGTCCGGGGCTGGTCCTCTGGCGTGCAGGACGGCGAGGAGTGGCTACCTGCACATAACAACACAATGACTGGCAACCGAGCTGAGGGCATAAAATCACATCATATCGACTTCAGCATCTGTCTCCCAGCTTTGGAGACGTCGCCCGACTCCCTGAGTGGCGAGCGCCAGTTTCCGAAAGGAAGTTGAGGAAGGCGACCCGAAAGCACCCGCTGGGCTGCCGACACTCCTGCGCTGCCAGCAGGGCGTGCTGCGCAGTAAAGCCTCGCTGCGTGGTCTGTACGACATCCGACACCGGCACCCAGACGTGCAGTTTCTGATGACATCCCACCTCAGCCAGGGCTGCCCCGAGAATCTGCTAGTGCTGACTGCCTGCTGCTGAGGCCGACCTGCCGACGACCTGCCGGACCTGTCGCCGCCCTGGTGAGCCTGAGCCGCCCTGGGACTTGCCGCCGTGTCTACGCTGCCGCCCTGGTGAAACTGCCGTCGCCCTGCCGAACCTGTCGCCGCCCTGGTGAGCCTGCGGCCGCCCTGGACCTGCTGCCACCCCGGCGGACCTGCCGCCGCGTCTACGCTTCCGCCCTGGTGAAACTGCCGTCGCCCTGCCGGATCTGTCGCCGCCCTGGTAAACCTGCTGCCGACCTGTCGCACCTTCCACCGCCCTGGTGAATCTGCTGCCGACCTGCCTGACCTGTCGCTGCCGTGGTGAACCTGTTACCGACTTGCCGGACCTTTCTCGCCGCCTTGACGAGCTTGGGGAGCCTGTGCTGAGGTGCCACCGCTCTGTTTCACGTGTTATGTTGCCCGGTTCCTGGCTGTCGCGGAGTCAATCGGCACATTGTGTTTGGAGAGGCGACATCTTGTACAACTTTCCGACAGTTCGGAGCATTTTATTGTACCTACTCAAGTCGCAAGAGATTAGGCTTGTGCCTTATTTGTCCTCTACCAATCTGTCCAAGATGGTTTTTTAACTACGATTTATGGTATGACATAAACCGGTATATTGTGTACGCATTTGGTTCGTTCCAGTCAGAAGTTTGGAATGTGTACATATACTTGTGTTACGGTACAATTTCGGTTTGTGCAGTTCACACCTCTCTTAATTATGGGGCGAAATAGACGCAAAACCAGGGCTGCGGAGTCGGAGTCAGGGTCGACAGTTCTGACCGGACTCGGAGTCGATTTTGGAAACCGAGTCGGAGTCGGGGTCACCGAAAATCCATCGGCTCCGCCAGGGCTGCGGAGTCGATGGATTTTCGGCGACTCCGACTCCGACTCCGACTCCGGCTTTAAAATACCAGCTCCGGCTCCGACTCCGGGCAGAATTGTCGACTCCGACCGACTCCAACTCCCGACTCCGACTCCGCAGACCTAGCAGGGCTGCGGAGTCGACATATTTTCGGTGACTCCGACTCCGACTCCGGCTCGGGTTTCTAAAGTCGACTCCGACTCCGACTCCGGTCACAACTGTCGACTCCGACCGACTCCGACTCCGACTCCGCAGCCCTGGCCGCTCCGCAGATCTGGCAGGGCTGCGGAGTCGGAGTTAGAGTCGGTCGGAGTTGATTACCCAGCCCGGAGTCGGAGTCGGAGTTGGTTTTTGGAAGTCGCGGTTGGAGTCAGAGTCACCAGAAATCCATTGACTCCGAAGCCTGGCGCAAAACTAAGGCGATTTTCATCTACGAGAGAGCCGCCGATGTGCTGGCCGGATCACCGGCGGGGCGCACGTTGGCTCGGTCCGATCCCAATAATGTCGCCAAATCTTTGGTTCGAGTAACAGCTGGTCCTGATTTGCTTCACTGAGGAAACATCACACCGTTCTGCCTTGCATCGGACATCAAAACTGCACTAAAATCCGCTGAAAACGTATTTAAACGTCCGTCCTCCATAATGGCTACGGACGGCGGCCGGCGAGTTACCATCCCAGTGACGTCATTCGGGCCCGGTAGGGGGACGGTAAAAAAAAAGCCTGATGACCATACCTGGTTATATGGCCTTGGCAAGGCCCAAGTAGGTACACATTTCGCTGAGAAGTGTGTGAGTGTTTCATAAATTAATTCATATACCTTGAGTGTGTGTATTAGTAGGGGGGATGTGTGAATTGTTTAATTGATTTATCCTGTAAATAGATACATATCAATATATTAAGATATTGTTTTTGACACTTCTATAGATGATTCATTGAGTTTTATATTAGTATTATTTTGTGAAATTGATTTGTCACGTTAGGCAGACGTCAATCGTAAAGATGCCTTGCTGCTTACTCCAACTTATGTTCATTAATCACCTGTTGATTTGTGAAAAGAGGATTTTCATTTCGGAGGTGACAGTGTCCAGTATGATCTAGCCAACCTAGCAGTTTTCAAATTGGTGTTTTCTTGTTGTGTTGATAATGCTGCACATGTTACAGGTTGTGGAGCTCCTGAACAACAATGAATAAATCAGTGGGCAAGACCTGATTTATCTCAACATAGGGCTGAGAGCTCAACAGCAGCCAGCATGCCAATTCAGGGACCACAGTGGACGGAGTTCCTTACCTGTCCCATTTGTCTGTTTGAGTTCAACAGGGACAGGGGCCCCGTCAGCCTAAGCTGCGGCCACACCATCTGTAAGACATGTCTGCAGCAGCTGCACAGAAAACGCTGCCCTTTCGATCAGGTATGGTTCCTAAAGCTGGTCTTCATGTCGGTGTATGGATATCATGCCAGTCAGATAATCCCACATTGCTGGTCTAATCTTTTTATCAGTTGCCTTAGGATTGACATGCTGCTATGTGATGGACATCGAGTGATTACAGCCTTGCTTAGTGACAGTTTTCCCTCTAATAAACATCTGGATGATTTATGTACAAGTTGAGTGAATTCCTACATGTGGGTATCAACTAAGCAAACAGTCATATGCAACTTGGATTTACACAAAACTGTGTTACCCTCAAGCAGAATTGTACCTACACCCAAGTTAGAGACAGAGGACAAAACATCTAAATGCTTGTTTTAAATCATTTTCAAGCACATTGGACATGCTAACAAAAATTAGGTAATATTCTGCAAATTGACATCAAGCCAAACTTGACCTAGAGAGATAAGGGTGGATTTGACACATTCATAGAAACTTATCATAGATTGAAATTTGAAGTTGAGGGTCATTGAGTTCATTTGAAGAACTGCTCATTTCTAGCTTGTGATGACCACATGCATGCATGAGCATCAGGGATGCCAATCTGGTGCAATCAAAATTACGTGTTTGGTGTAGATGAAAGCAATGAGACGGGCTGAAAAAGCAACTTAAAACATCCAAGCACGCCAATATAAGCAGTTTTGCCCAGCTCCGGTATGGGTATGAAAACCACATGCACCACCCGCCACCCGAACTGTTTGATCCTGTCTGTATCATGTGTATAGATCAGAACATAACAATATATATTATGTGTCCCCTTCATAATATCACTGATGTTGTTGACGATGGCCGCGACAAAGTCTCCTCTGACCTGTCTCTCTGACCTTGCCCTTGCCACAGTCGGGGATGGGACTGACCCCTGACCTTGCCTGTACAGCAGTCGGTGATTTGACTGACGTAATAAGACCCTCTCGCCCGTGCCCCAGTCGGTGATCGGGCCCACTGACCTCTGACTCTGTCCGTACTGACCTCTGACTCTCTTGTCTGTGCTCCAGTCGGGGATTGGCTGACCTGACCCCGCCCCTGCTGTGCCACAGTCTGTGATCGGTCTGACCTCTGAACTCTGACCCTGTCCGTACTAACCTCTGCCCCCGCCCGTGCCACAGTCGGTGATCGGTTTGACTTCTGAACTCTGACCCTGACCCCGGCCGTCCCACAGTCTGTGATCGGTCTGGACCTGGAGCAGCTGCCGCTCAACTGGGCGCTGCTGCAGCTGGTCACCGCTGGGGAGGTGGCCCGGCCCCAGGCGCCGCCCTCCAGCCTGGCGCCGCACGAGCAGCAGGCCTACCTGAGCGCCATTCGCTGCATTGAGGAGCTGGCGCTCTTCCTGAAACCGCTGCCGCCAGGTGGGTGCGCCGACACCGGGGCGGGTGGCCGGTGGCAGTGTGTGGGTGGGGTGGTCTGAGGAATACTGGAGGGATAGTTAGGTGATGCAAACAGCGAACGTCCCTCTAATGTTCGATACAAATATCGAACCTTGTGCTGGCAGGCTTGTTGCTAAAGTTACATGTTGTTTCAGTCCAGGGTAGGAAGTTATGTGTCGATCTCTATGGTTGTCAGTTATTCAAGGTGGCTTGGTTTAGTATGAATGACACCCTTGCCAGGTGGCGCCCATCTCACCAGATGACCTGTGTCGTGTGCTTTCCCGAATGAGTAACTCTGCCGCGTGTGGCGCCGATGGACTGTGTATCCGCTTCATTAAGATCTGTCTGCCTTCAATCTGTCATGTCATCACTCGCATTGTAAACAGCAGTCTTGTGTCGCATCGTGTCCCGGACTCATGGAAGGTGGCGCTTGTTCATCCAATTCAGAAATCGTCCAAGTCTACCGAGGTCGCGAACTATCGGCCCATTTCTATTTTACCCACCATAGCGAAAATCGTCGAACGCGTTGTCTACGAGCAGCTCTTTTACTACTTCGCCGCTCATCACCTCTTCTCGTCATCTCAGCACGGTTTTAGATATAACCACTCGACCGACACGGCGCTTTTATCCGTCACTGATCACGTGTTTACGGCTATGGACCGCAGTCAAATCACGCTTTTATGTCTTCTCGACTGTTCCAAATGTTTTGATGTGATTCCACATGACCCACTGCTGCACAAACTTCAACTATATGGCGTCGACACCCGCTGGTTTAGCAGCTATCTTGACGGTCACTACCAGCGGGTGCAGCTTCAGGATGCCGCCTCAGGGCGGATTGTGACTTCAGAGGCGCTTCCTAACCCGATCGGCACGTATCAGGGCTCAGCGCTCGGACCGCTTTTATTTTCGATTTATGCCAACGATTTACCTTTGTACACGGAGGGCGCTCACGTCGTGCAATACGCTGACGACACCCAGGTGGCAGTCAGCGGTGGGATCGGCGACATCGGCTCCCTGGTGCAGCACATGGAGCACAACCTGGCCCTCCTTTCTCGATGGTTCGGCAAAAACGGCATCAAAATTAACGCACAAAAGACCCAGTTCATCATTCTTGGCTCGCGACAAAACATTCAACGTCTCCCCACAGTCAACATCAAGTTAATGGATGCCGAGGTCGCCGCTTCCGCCGCCGTCCTAAACCTGGGTGTCACTTTCGACCAGCATATGACTTTTACCCCGCATGTAGACAGCGTTGTGCAAAAATGCACTGGCATCCTGTGCGGATTGAGCCACAGCAGGCACAGTCTGCCTCAGTCAACCCTGTTGACGCTCATTCAGGGACTTGTCATTTCGCGCATTTTATACTGCTTGGTCGTATACGGCGTGTGTAACAAGACCCAGATGAGGCGCATTCAGAAGGTGTTGAACTTTGCCGCCCGTGTCTTATCCGGTCGAAGGAGGTACGATCACATCAGCGACGTTTTGGACCGTCTTGACTGGCTTACTGCAGAGCACCTGTATCTATACCGCGGTCTTATCCTACTGAAGCGCATGTTAGTGACATCGGAGCCCGAGTCGATCGCCAGCGACCTAGTCACTCGTGGTGATGTTCACCATCGTACCACACGGAACGCCGACCATTTAGTCATGCCGGCGAGTCGATCGGAGTCAGGCAGGCGTCGTTTTAAGCACTCGATCGTTACCACCTATAATGCTTTGCCACGTGAGTTGCGAAACTTTACTGGAGGCTTTAAGAAAGAACTCAGGCAACACCTGCTTATGAAGCAGCGGGGCGGCGTCGGCTAGGCGTACTTTAAAGAGCAGGCGTGTGTGGGTTAGTGCGTGTGCATGTGTGCATGTTGACCTAAATGACCGTTTTTTATCTTTGCGACTGCAGGGTGCGGAATAGCCACTGAACTATGTGGATGTGCCCCATGACGTAAATACATACATACATACATACATACTTGCATTCCCCTCCCCAGCTGCTAACGCCCATGATGAGATTGGCTGATTGATAACCAGCACATAGCACATATCAATCATGAATTGACTGCCTGGGAGATAATCTTTTCAGTACAAATTTTGTACTCCTCATGGAAGTAATGCTGTTTTTTTTTTTTTGAAAACCCAACATCATCGCAATCTCCCAAAGCGGCCAAAGACATCCCCTGGACTAGAGTTGCCGAGCTGTTGGGCAGTCGTTGGAGAGCGCGGTGCATGCGCCGCGGGAGATGCGGTACGATCGATACGCCGTGGCGATGAAGGTCTGCCAACGGTTCAGTTACTCCTTTCCCATACCTGCTACATTGCATGATTAAATCGAGACATCCAGGCATTTAACCGGCACGTGCACTGTACCACACTTTTCAGTTTAATGCAATGCTTTAATACCACAAGCCGTGTGGTTCAAGGGGTGTGGTTAAACACGTTGAACCACACGGCTGCTGTCGTCACATCATATAGCTGTGACTGTTCGGACTTTGGACAGGTATGGGAAACACCTTCCAGCCCTAAGACCGGGAATTCAATAAATGTCACCTCGCGTTTTTAGCGAAACCACCCCGGGCCTCACGGCCCTCGGAGTTTTCGCTAAAAAAAAACCTCGGTGACATTTATTGAATCATCCCGGCCCCGGGCAGGAATATATTCCACCGTATGTTGCTGGCCTGGTGAGCCAGCCATTAGTGGACAACAGTCAGAGATATCAGTCTTGAGTCCTTAGCAGTGGTCCTTGCCATGTAGGTGATGTGTAACTTTATTACATTGCACAGCATGCCACGTAATCTTCGCGTCACCCATACGATATCGGAAATGCTACTTGTTGATCACGAGCGGTCGCAAAACCAGTTTTGTCCTGTTGACAGGGAAAACGTGATCATGCTGACGCGACTGCGTAATGTAGGTAGTTGTCAAAATAATCCCGAGCCGCACTTGGTTATTGAAAATATTTCCAAATTGTGCGAGTGTATCACGCACTTCCGGATGGTAACAGTATCCAGCTCGAAATGTCAAAATACACTGGTATGCAATACACTGGTATGCCCCTCGTGACACGTTAGTCGAGATGGGCTGAAGCCTGAAACAACAGCTTTACAAAGGCTGAGTCATTCTTCCCGTTCCGTATCTGTTCAAGTTTGATCATCTTTCCGTTTTCCTTTGTATGGATATTGCTCAGATTTACGTAACTGTAAGGTTTTCCTTAGATCAGTAGAGTTACGGTATACAGTATAGCCCTTACGGCGTACACACACATCTCTGCCGTCCATTAGGACCATAATTGAACATTTTATGGTCTATGGAGAACGGGTGGGGGCAGAAACCACACGCCGTCTCTGTGAGTCAGGGCTGGGTGACGGCACTCGACGCACGCCCTCCGCAGCCGGCTCGGTACCGATGGCTGGTGTCGTGTGTGTTCTGGCCGCTCTGACAGCGCTCGGCTCTCTGCCGGTCGGTTTAACCGTAACATGTGAGGCTAGCTTCTCTGTCTAAATCGTTATGTAATGCGAGTGACCCGCCGGTGAACTTCAGCGGAATGCTGTCAGATGGTGAGCCGCGTAATTTTGGTAAATAGGGGTCATATACAATATACAGAGATAGATTAATGACACCAGTAGGCGACATCGGTACCAACCACGCATTGTTGAAGTGTCCACAAACCAACGGCTGCATATGAAGCAGTCGCACAATTTTTTTCTTTGTTCAATAATTGTTTGTGATGGCCGGACTGTGACTATTGTAGAAGAAAACCAATGTTAAGTATTTTCAGAAATATTGGCGCTACTCGCTGTCATTGACACCACTACCATGTCAACTGACGTGAGAAACCATAGTTCCACGCGAGTGTGGCTTCCCACTCAGCATTGTGAACCGCATTGGATTACCTCATCGCCGCGTCATATTTACTCGTTCGTTCATTCATTCCACATATCTCTCCGCCACCTACTACTCACAGCTTCCCCGTCTCTCCGCCAGGTGGCGGGTCGGGCGGCGGCGCCGGCGGGCCCAGCGTTCTCTCGCGCTCGATGCAGCGGAAGCTGGTGACGATCGTTACGTGTCAGCTGCTGGAGCCGGAGGGCCGCAGCCGGGCGCTACGCGCGTGCCGCTCGCTGGGCGAACGCACCGTCACGGAGCTGATCCTGCATCACCAGAACCCGGCACAGCTGTCGGCCAACCTGTGGGCGGCTGTGCGCGCGCGCGGCTGCCAGTTTCTCGGGCCCGGTGAGCAGTGGGCGGACAGACAGAAAGGAAGATGGGCGGCAGCGGCAGGGAAGGGGAGGGGTGGCCGCGGGATGGGGGGGGGGGGTCGGTGGCAGCGACAGGGGGTGGTGGTGGATCTCACGGTAGTGTACTTCAGCGTCGTTGACGACTATGTGTTGGCGAGAAGTTATAATGGAAACTACATGCTCCTTTACATTTTGTTTTTGTAACACAACCAGAAAAGGCCATATTCGATGTGCTCGCCGGTCACTTGCAACATTTCCTTATAGTGTTTACTAGCTGTTGTTGTTGAGAGTGGAAATGAGTTCTTCCCGGACTTCTTTTGCTGATAGTGTTCTTCGAACTGGAAATAACGAGTATGATAGAGTGTGCTCACCTATCGTATTGATCAGCCTTCTGCATCGGAGTTGAGCAATGACTGTGCAAGTTTCCTGTTTGTAACCCGAAATCGACGCGGTGAGACAGTTTCTGATCACACGAATGATGCCCTTTCTCAACACTGCGTGTATTGTGAAATCACACCAAACTCGAATCATAGCTATTTGAACCCAGGAATTTGGATAGCATGAATGCAGTTGAGTAGCCGTCATCGTTTCGAGTGTTTCGTGTCTTATCTGTTTTGCGCTGAAGTGCTTACTAGAGCTTCCTGGAAGTTTCCATTTTCCGTTTAGAACCACCCTTCCCCCGCCCAATACCTCGCCGTTCCCCTCCCGATGCCTCCCCCTCCCTCCCTGACGACCCCCCCCCCGCCCCTGCAGCCATGCAGGAGGAGGTGCTGCGCCTGGTGCTGCTGGCCCTGGAGGAGGGGTACGCCCTCTCCCGGAAGGTCCTCGTCATGTTCGTCGTCCAGCGCCTGGAGCCGCACTTCCCGCAGGCGTCCAAGACGAGCATCGGTCACGTGGTACAGCTACTCTACCGCGCCTCCTGCTTCAAGGTGCGTCCCCGGCCGAGTGGCAGTCGGGGTGGGCGGGAGAGGGAAGGGGATGGAGAGGTCGGGGTGGGCGGGAGGGGGACGGGGTGGGGTGGTCGGGGTGGGGGCAGAGAGAGGGGATGGGGTGGTGGGCGCCTGAGGGACTGAGGAAAGTGGCCTGCATGCGATTGGATGTGTGACGCGCAGGGAACGTGGTAAGATCTGTCGAGGCAGGTACCTGGATATAGATACATATTATTGAGGTCGTGGCATGGCACCGTTCTGAATCTGGTGTTTTGCTCTGGCTGTTCCTGGCCTTGGGGACGACAGACGGCTGGCGGGGGCGGTCGTATTACATGCCAGAGGCAGTTTTGTGGGCGCAGCTGGACGTTCCCTGCTGTTTGGGAACCTCAACCTCCGTCAGGGAATTCTGCCGTCTGCCTGGATTTTTTTTCCGAAATTTCCGAAATCTGGCAGTGTTTTAAATGCCTGGATCTGCGCAATAACCCCTGATCGTCGGTTTTTCCCTCGTGAATACGTGCACTCGAAATCGTTGGACTTCATTTGGTCGAAAAAATAGGGCAATCGAAGGGAGCATGTTTATTAGAACCAACTGACAACTCAGCCGTCCCTAGTAAACAAATTTACCAATGCAGTACCCCCTGCCATTACGAACGTTCATCGTCGTTTAGCCTCCGCGCTCTGGCTCCCCTCACTGTCCCCTCCTGACGCCAGCTGCCGCTCATTTATCGTGTCCGCCAGCCGAGAAAGTCATGCTTTCCTTATCGGAACGTTTTCACTCCGCCGGCGTGCATGTTCGGAGAGGCGGGGTGTGGGCACGAGAAATCGTCTGCCGTGACCAGGGATAGTGCTGTGGAAAGTCAGTGCAGTTCATGTTCTGCTGGTTGCCGTGGTTGTGTTGTAGGCACCGTCCTTCACTCAGCGAACCGGGTGGAATTGATGCGTTTAAGTGATATCATTCACTACTTACTGGCTGGAAGTTTGGTGGCATGCAGACACAAGCCTGCAAACACGTATTTGATCACCTTGAGATTGTTTATCGAAGTGTGATTAAGCAGTTGGCCATTGGTCATATTTCCACCAAATTTCTGTTTGTGGCAGTGTTAACACGAGCCTGCCGTCCTGCTGTCGAAGTTTGGAAATTCAGTCCTCGGGCTACCGAGTTCAGTCGGGTTGCTGGAGAGTCTCAGTTGCTTTACCGTTAGGCTGTTTCCTTCGGCTACATCATTCATGTGGCTGGTGTGCGATCAGCAGGATCGTCAGGCGAACCAAGCATCTCCGGTTTTCAGTGTAGCACGGGTGCTTCGTACCCGGGTAGCAAAGGGAAAGGACACGGGTGTAACGGGTGAACTAAACAGCAGGGTGACTACTCCTTTCACAGGGCGAATAGTGACATTGTTTGGGGAAGGTTACGATGCAGGCGGGACCCTTGCGGGTTGTTGAGCTCATGCTTAACACAGATTACCAATGTGTCGTTGTTCATACTACCTACAATGTGAAACTTCGGCTCCTGATGTTTACAAGAGACCAGCAATGCTTACAATGTGATTTTACGTGTAGTTACGACTTCATTGAAAAATATCGTCCCTTATGAGGCCTTTGGAGTCGCACGCAAACCTACAAACAAGGAGCTGCATAGTGATAATTTTCCTCATACCTTCCCCTGATGGTTATGTCGGCAATATTTATCACTGCGCCCGTCCTCGCCAACATGTGAATTGTGCTCACCCATCCGTGGAACTTGATTAGTGACATGTGTGTTATATCCTTGTGAGGCGATGTTTTCAGAAAGAAAAACGAATTATTTTCTTACGAAACCAGCATTGTTGACGTTCGTGGCATTTGAACGAAGTATCATTAGGCTACGAAGTATCATTAGGCTAGGTATCATTGGTAACTCATAAACCGTCTACGATATTCGCCATTGCATTTTTCTCCATTTCTTGGGTGTCACAATGGCCTATGGGAGCTGGGCTTCACCACCAGTGTTTACTCTATATTGTAGTATATATGGTCCTGCTGAAATTGACAAGGTATGGTGCCGTACCATTTTGATATCAGATTACAAGCTCCTATACATGACTGTCCGACAGCCAGTTCGTATTTCTAACGTTGAAGCACATACTTCTATATATGTATAAAGAGAAGTTTGTGGTTGAAACAATCGGAACTCATCAATATCACTCAGCACTTGTCACCAGCGTCACCGCAGCGGCCAGTTTTGCCCCTATCAATTAACAATCAAACACAGCTGCAGGGGCCCGTCATCCAGATGTGACTCGCCATTTCGAAACTGGTTGCTGCTCGCTCTTGAACCCAACCTCCAGATACTGGAAGCCGTTTGCGAAATATAAGCGGCGCTATGCAGCGAAGCAGTGCTGTTTCGGTTGGCGCGTCGGGCCGTAAAGTGGGGCCCGCGGCGGCGGCCGGGCCGTATCGAGGTCAGAAGGTCGCCGACAGCCGCGCCCCGGCTCTGCTCAGTCGACGGCGGGTCGGCTGGGTGTACGAGTATCACCCTCCATCAAACTACGATCGGCCGAACACATACAGTTCCAAGAGCACATCCGGCGGTCCTTGGGCGGTGCCAGAATTAACCTGAACGACGACGGCGACCGAGACGCTGTTTTCCCCGAACGGCGCGTCGGTCCGCCCTCTGACACAGGTGGCTAACCCCGTCTATCCACGCTGGCTGGCGTAACGTCCCAGCCTGACCGGGTCGGTCAGTCGGGTCGGGTCGGGTCGGGTCGTCGCTCCGTGGCCGCACCGGGCGCCCGACGCTGTGCAATGCTGTGACGCCGCCTGCGTAACTGGCGCCGCCGCGGCCGGCCGACCGAGCACGGAACGGCGACACGCGCCCGCGCCAGGTCATGTGACGTCACCAGGGGCACGACCCTGTGACGTCATCTGGTCACGGTCCTGTGACATCATCATATCTTGGTCCAATGTTGTCACCAGAGCACGGTTTTGTGACCTGATCGGGCCACGGTCCCGTGAAATATCACGCGCCCCGGGTGGGGTTGGCGAACCGCGTTACACGATGGCGAACCGTGCGCCGCTTCAGTGATGACCTTGCCAGCACTCGTTCACCTGAACCGTTTGGCAGGCTTTGTTTGCACATACATAGATCACTGGCCTGGGACGGGGTAGCGCCGATTGAAACGTTCTGCTAGTTTTCCCGCCGTGCTCATTTCACGTTGCGGTGGTGCTGCAGTTTATCTGCCAACATCAGCGGCAAATTTTAAAATGGAGGATTTCAAAACGTTGCGTCACTGAGATGCAGCATCCCGGTGAGAACATTCTGTTGTGAGAAGAACGCTTCTTGGCGCGGCTGCTTTCACTTGTCCTATGGCCCTTTTTACCGTGTAGCAACTTCGATTTTTAGTTTTCTGCATCAGTGCATCCATAACTTGTTGGCTCACCTGTATTTCTATCTGTTGGCCTGGTGTGGCCACCAAAGACAAGCACTTTGGACAGGTTCAGATATCCGCGCCTGGGGACTAGTATTTGTACCAGATTAGAGCCAATTTCAGACAGGACTAACGTGTTCAGCAGGCGGTTTCACTGACCTCTGTATGGAAGACAGTGTTGTGATTGCACATCGCCGCTGGTCCATGCCCGGCCGCCACCACCTGTGTGTTTACGTGCAGAAAGGGAAACCGGCCAGCTCCGACAGACCGGCTCGGGCCGCCGGGCTCACCCATCTCTGGGACTGGGGGAGCGCTCATCCGGTCCAGGCTGAGCAGGGCTGCGGAGTCGATGGATTTTCGGCGACTCCGACTCCGACTCCGACTCCGGCTTTCAAAAACCAGATCCGACTCAGACTCCGACTCCGGGCAGAATTGTCGACTCCGACCGACTCCAACTCCCGACTCCGACTCCGCAGACCTAGCAGGGCTGCGGAGTCGACAGATTTTCGGTGACTCCGACTCCGACTCCGGCTCGGGTTTCTAAAATCGACTCCGACTCCGACTCCGACTCCGGTCACAACTGTCGACTCCGACCGACTCCGACTCCGACTCGGACTCCGCAGCCCTGAGGACGTTGATAACGAATAGCCATTAACACCGTCTCGGAGCCGCCACTTACCGCGCCATGAGCGGTGTGCCAAACGGCTGCCGATTTAGCTGCGGTTAGAGTGTGATACTGCCTGGGAGAATCACGCACTTCTGCCGTTGGTTTTGCCGCGCGCTGCGGCCGAGCGCTAATTACTCGCCCGGTGACCTCGATTTGACACCGGATCCGGGCGACAGGTCAGCACCGCTCTCCGGGTCACCGGGCAGTCCGGATCCGATCCGGATCCGCCGTGTCCTGGTCCTGACAGCCGGAACCGCTGTCCGCCGCCGCAGCCACAGCCGCTCAGACGCACCATTCCCAGGCCCGTGGCATCGTTAGACACCGGGAGTAATGAGTTATTTTTGGCCGCGGACCATTCACAGGCTCGCTCTGTGAGTGACACGCAGCACCTGGCCGAGAGAGAGAAAGGCCGGCCGGAGCGGAACGAACGGCTTTGGAGAGCGCGCCGGCTGGCCGGAAGGGCCGCCGGGCTCGGCTGTGTTTGTATCAGAGAGAGCGGGCCTGATGATCGCGGGGGAGGGGAGCTGGGGTCCCGCGCCCCGGTGGGGTGTGGAAATGGGTGAACTGGTGCGGAGCGCGCCGACAAACAGTGACGGTCAGCGGGCGGGCGGCACACGCCGGGCAGCTCTGGCTGTGACGGAGGGGGTGGCGACGGACCCTAACCGCGGCCGGCGCTCTGCGCGGTGCGGCCAGCTCGTGTGGCAGCTTATGGTGGTGCCGGGCGCCGGGCTGTCCCCTGTGACCCCAGCAGCCGGAGAGATGGTGCTGATGGCGGCACCGGCGACCGGCACGATGGCGGCTGATGTTTCCGTGACGGAGCGCGCTGGCGACTTTTGTCCAGTAGTGTGTCCGGCTCTTTGTTCGTCTGGCTCGCGATCCTATCCGGGCGCTTGGCTCGTGTCGCCGAAATATTCATGGGAGATCACCCT